CATTCGCGAAAATGCCGAGGTGCCATGTGCAGACTGCAAGGCGAATGGCGTGGTGTGTGAATCGAAGCTTCCACGTAAACAGAGGGTCTATGGCAGTGTGGAGACCCTCAGCTTACGCTACAGAGCCCTTGAGTCGCTAGTCAAAGGCCTCTTTCCGGATGAGAATGTTCAGGACACAGAGACCCTGTTCAAGATCGCCACGACCAGGAACATTGCCATGCCCGCGAGCGACGACTTTACTCCCGCAGACATCTTCAGCAGTAGCAGTAGCGATAGACAGACTTCCTCGCTGGAACAGCAACAGCAACAGCAACAACAGCAGCAACAACACTCATTGCAGCCATCGCCAGTTGCCCAGTCTGCCTACTTGGGCTCGCAGACTACCACGTATCCCCTGCACTCTGCTCGGCGCACTACTGCCTTGTCCACAAGCAAAGAACGCCTTCGTCAGCCCATAACACAACAAGTATCTTCCCAGACTGACGAGATCATTCGTACGAACCGAGGCGCCTCACATTATTTCGGGCCGTCAAGTAGTTTCCGACTTGCATCCACTATCCGCACACTTGCGTCCCGATGGAAGGCCGTATCTGGCGCCGACTTTCCTGGCCTCCGATCATTCACCTCCAACCCCTCGAGCCGATCTGGCTCAGCTCTCAAACGCAGCAGCACAAATCCTTCCGAGGACGAATTTGCTACACCATCATACAGCCAGCGTCCAAGTTCTCGCCATGGAAGCCGCAAGAGATCTAGGACCGAGATGGAGGCATCAAGCGATCCGTCGCAACTCCATGATCACTCATCACGTCTAGATACTATTGGTGACTTGATACCTCCAAAACACATCGCCGACGCTCTAGTAGCAGTCTACTTCGATCACATACATGTGTACTTTCCCCTTTTCAATAGAACCACGTTTCAGATCCGACTGGAGGCTACGTACTCACGGAAGATGCAGTTGTTCGAAGAGTGCAAGGATATGGGGTGGCTAGTCTCCCTGGCCTTGGTCTTGTCTTTTGGCTGCCAGAAATCAAAAGCAAATGATGTCGACCAAATGAATGTACTTCGCCACAAGTTTCTCGCCTTCGCCAAAACATACTTCCGGACGCTTCTGACATCGACACGTCTGGACAATGTTCAAGCACTCGTCCTCCTCAACATGCATCATCACAATATTGGGCAGAAGAGCAGCTCGTGGTTACTGATAGGTCTTGCTGCACGTATGGTACGTTGAATGCTATACAAGACACTCATCCTCTGCTAACACTCTTAGGCTATTACCATGGGAATGCATCGAGATAGCACCAACCTAGAATTCGAGCCCATCGAATGCAACACGCGCAGACAAGTCTGGTGGTCCCTCTATATATTCGAAAAGACGCTGTGTGGCATATTGGGCCGTCCAACAGTGGTTGACGACCGAGAGATGTCGATGAAAGTCCCCGACGCACCAATGCTAGAGCAAACGCGCATCACCGCGGCATTCATGAACCTCTGTTCCGATCTCGTCTCTACATCGTACCGCATTCGACAGCGTGCCTACTTCGACAAAACGTCTGCGGAGGAACGGTCGCCGACCATTGCTGTCGCCATGGCCCTGCTTCGGGAGTGCGACAACTTCTTTGCAAAGATACCTTCACACATGTCGATAGATCATATGCCAGGGCACCCAGATCTGAAGGCAATGACATTGTTGCTACACGTGTACTATTACTATACACGTTGTGTCATCTCCCGAGACTTCCTCATACAAAAAGTGGAGAGTAACGTCTGCTTCCTGGAGAACAAGACGCCCCCAACTTCTGAAGACTGGTCTACAACCCTGATTCTGGCGGAGGACTGTGTTGAATCAGTACACAAAAGCCTCCAATGCATCACTATTGGCATCGAGCTTGGGATATTCGAGATTATCGGTTACTCTTGGCTAGACTTCTTCTTCGTGTTCCACGCTGTCTTGATCGTATGCGCAGATTTCCTTGCGCGACCCAAGGGCCAAACAGATTCACCGAGGGACGTTGAACGTAAAGCGACGGTGCGCGCCGTGCTAGAGCAGGTCCGCGGAATGCAGAAACTTGCACCCACATACAAAACTCTTGGCCAGATTGCGCTGCAGTTCGCCAAAATAACTGGTGTGACTCAGGATAACGATTCGCCAACAGTACCGGATGCGCCACATGAGATAGAGTCTGTGGTAGACATGGTGGCCGATGAAAGAACGGAGAACGCCGACATACTTGATATAGGAAATGATTGGTATACAGACGCGACGGCCGATTTGGGATTAGACTTCTTCGACCTGAGTCAGGCGACACATCCAGTGTCGTTCCCCATTATGGATGCTCCGTCACGTTCTGAGAATGCGCCCGACGACTCGACAGGTGACGTGGTGGACGATTGGACAGACAGGGCGCTAAAGGGGATGCACACGCTATAGACACGCGATCACGCGTTGGGAGACCAGGGAAATTGCACCGAGATATCTATGTTGCTGTCATGATAATATTCGCAAATTTGGATGACATCATCATCTAGCGTGGTGTTGAAGTTTGGTGAGCGCTTGGCGATGCACGATCGACCGATAGCCGCAGCCAGTCAAGATCGGACCAAACTGCTTTGAGATTTCATGACGCATTTGTTCAAGGTTGATGTCGTGACAGCTGCAGACAAATACAGGCCCGCAGTAGCTTGGGCTGCTGCAGCGCGTCGCATAAGTGCTGAACTTTTACTTCGATGCCAAATTCAAACGACAGAACGCCTATTCTGCCCACCACGAATATGGCAGGCGGTAACAAAGATGGAAAGAAGAAGGTGCTAGTGGTAGGAGCCGGAGCGGCTGGTATGTTGAACGCGCGTTTTTAGATGTATCGTCGTTGATTTGAGACAGGAATGTCGTGTGCTCACCATCTTTCCGAACACCCTGACAAATTTGATGTCACTCTCATCGACGCTGTGGACTATTGTGGAGGCCAGGCATTTTCCATTGGAGTCGACAAGGAGCGTCATGGCGCCGAATGGCTGAACCAAGGTGTCCAGGGAGGAAGCTACATCTTCCACCACACCATGACAATGTTCGCCAGACAAGGCCACCACGCGGATCCGGTCAACCTCCAAGTTTCCTTCGGCAAGGACGACATCTTCTGGACCAACGTCTTCCCCACTGAGCTTCTTGCGCGCCACCAGAAGGAAATTCGTAGGTTCCATACCATGATCAAGATCGTCCGTTGGTTTGAGATATTCTTCGCATTGATCCCAATCAAGATTCTTTTCAAAATGTTCTGGTTTTCCGAGGAGTTCACAAACACTGTCGCCATGCCCATGATTGCACTCTTCTTGGGAACTGGAAACGAGACGCCAAATGTACCCAGCATCATCCTAGAACGGCTTTGCACTAGTCCAACGTATGGCATGTGGTACCCGGTAGACAAACGCAGCATTGCTAGCAATTTGCCGCCTATGGTCGTTTTCCCCAAGTTCAGCGAGTTCTATGAGCGCTGGAGGCAGGATCTACTCAAGAGAGGTGTTAATGTGAGGCTTTCAACGGAGATCACTCGGGTTGTGAAGCGAGACAAAACTGGTGTTACCGTTAGGTTGATAAAGCGCACGCCCATGCCTGATGCGCACAACCCCAACAGTGTCCACGTACCTTACGACGACGAGCATAACGCCGATGCCGACGCGCAAGAGAAGGAAGAGCACTACGATGAACTGATTCTCTGCGTACTCGCCGACACCGCAAAGCGTATCCTAGAACCCACCGCCTCCTTCCGCGAGAAGAAAGTCCTCGGCTCCGCCAAGTTCTCCGACGATATCACCGTCACGCACTGGGACAGCGACTACATGCACAAGCACTACGAAAATTTCTACGACCCAGAAAAATCCGCCAAAGATCTCTCCGGCGCCGACCAAACCGCCCGCAACCAATACGCCGAGAAGAACTTTAAGCCCATGTATTACATCAAGATGTACCCGCAAGACCGATCGAAACTAGAAATGTGCTTCGACTGCACAAACTACCAAAGTCAATTCCCACCGGATGTCCCCTTTGACAAGCACATCTTCCAGACGATCTACCTGAACAAGGCGCGAGACGGCCATCTATGGAGCATCGACGAGATCAACAAGGACAAGATCATCCGCAAGGACTGGTGGCACCAACTCTGCCATTCCTGGACGCATTACGTTTTCGTAGTACCATGGATGTGGCTACTCCAAGGAAAGAAACACACTCGCTTCGCAGCAGCATGGACGCTCATCAACGCCCACGAAGTCGCTGTCATGAGCGGTATCGCTGCGGCTGTTGATCTCGGTGCGCAGTATCCTGCTGATCTCGAGCGCGACAAGTTTGCTTTCTTGAGCTTCAGATTGTATTATTTGTTGGCGTATGGAAAGTGGTACAGCCGCAAGGCGACCAAGGAGACGAAGGAGGGACCTGGTAAGGACTGGGCGAGTGGGCTATATGGTAGTGTTTATAGGGGGCCGGGGGTGAGTGAGATTGATCGGTTGCAGTGGAGGGAGGAGAATGATATCAAGGATGAGCCGGTTAAGTATAGCTACCCGACTAATGCTGGAACGCGGTAAGGTTTGTGATGGTAGGGTTGAGAGGGACGACCGAATCGGGGTCGGTGCATTGGGAATGGTTGGAGCGTTATCAATACCACTTCTAATGTCTATGAGTGAATAACTACCATTAGTCTGTCACCTATTCATCTCGACCCTTTGTCAGCATGGTCACGAAAACCTACCTTTGATTTTGACGCGGGGTCGATCAGCCAACACTAACTCCGTCCCAGAAGGTCGTGTAAGCCCTACAGCGACGATAGCTATACAAGCGCGTATGAAGCGTTGAACCCATCGTGCGAATAGGGCGTAGTAAGTAGTAAGGATCGACATCGTAAAGTCTTACGTGCTGCCTCGAGTTGTAACCCGCGTTAACTCCGTCAAACTCCGCCAAGACCCTGCATATCATGGCCACTTAACTCCACAGCTCCACATGGAATATGTGTAATAATGTCGTTGCTAGAAGTATAAGTAATCTAAATCTCAAAAATATCAAGAACCAGAAACAATTTCCCAACAACAGATGCTCAACCATCTCACCAATCATGTCTTCCAAAACCCCACTCGACATTGTCTTCGGCTGCATGACCTTTGGCCGTGAAGGCGAAGAACAAGTCCGCACCTCGGATATAAATGACTGCGCAGCTATCCTCGATACCTTCCAATCCTACGGCCACAATGAGGTCGACACGAGTCGTTTCTATGGCGTACGCAGACCCATCCCCCTCTCCATCTTCCCATCCATCAACGCTCAAGACTAACAAATAATCCTAGGACGGCACATCCGAAGAATACCTCGCCCAACTCTCCTGGCAGAAGCGCGGTCTAGTAATGGACACCAAATTTTACCCCAACGTCCATGGACTTTTCGGCCGTACACCCACTCACTCTAGAAAGGAGGATATGGGCAGTAGTTTGAAGGAGAGTCTTACTGCGCTTGGGGCAGAAGGGGTAGATCTGTGGTATCTGCATGCACCGGACCGAAGCGTGCCGCTTGAGGAAACGGCGAGGGCTGTGCATGAACTGTTTCAAGAGGGTGGTGAGGGGAAGAAGTTCAAGAGGTGGGGGGTTAGTAATTTTATGGCTTGGGAGGGTATGTTGTGTCCAGTCCATTCATCCCTTCCAACCCTCCCTATCTTTATATATCAGATGCATTACTAAAAATCAACCACAGTCGCAGCAATCTGCGAGATTTGCAAGGCAAATGGGTACCAACTACCCAGCGTCTACCAAGGCGTATACAACGCCCTCCACCGCAGCATCGAACACGAACTCCTTCCTTGCCTGCGCAAATACAACATGTCATTTTACGCTTTCAATCCGTTGGCTGGGGGCTGGTTGACCTCGCGGTATAAGCGCGAGACGCAGAATGATGCTCTTGAGGCTGGGAGTCGGTTTGATGCGAACCGTAAGTCAATAGCTTCTCTCCCTGCTCAAAGGGTACCAAATATAATGTAAGGTCGAGGTACTGACTCTCTTCAGGTATGCAAGGTAAAATGTACCGCGCGCGCTACTGGAACGACGAGTTCTTTACTGCGATTGAAGGTCTGCGGGCAGAGTTGCCGGAAGGCCAGACGGAGAGTGAGACGGCGCTTCGGTGGATGATGCATCATAGTCAACTGAAGAAAGAATTCGGGGATAAGGTTATTATTGGGGCGAGTAGTAAGGGGCAGTTGGAGATGAATCTCAGGGACTTTGAGAAGGGCCCGTTGGATGAGAAGGTTGTGAAAGCGTTGGACCAAGGGTGGGCGGTAACAAGAGGAGTGACTTGGAAGTATTTTCACTAAATCGGGGGTTGAGTTCGAGGTCGAGGAAGTGAAATGCGTTGAGACATGGGAGACAGCTCGGTGAAGAAAGGTTTCAGAGGCGGCGAACGCGGGCTGTGAAAGAAAGGTCAGCCACTTTCGAGACGGTGGACTGCAGGTGGTGGTCAGCATCTCTGGCTCCTCAGGTAGATATAATAACGGAAAACACTCGTAACAAATGATTCTATCTCCGCGCAACTCGAGAAACAACTACCCACCGGAGACAAGACACCAAGACACCAAGATGCCAAACCCAAACACAGAGCGAAGCGAGCAAGTCTCCACAACAACCAACCAATCCAACCTCAACAGGGTGGCACAGCACACCCGTCCCGTCTTCCAAACCTCCGTCGAAGAAGCAGCCAACCATATCGTAGAAGCCGCCATCGCGAGCAAAGAGAAGCGAGAAGCCGAAGCTCAGGCGCAAGCTGCTGCACATACTCACGCCCAAGCCGCAGCGTATGCTCAAGTCCAAGCCCAAGCATATCGTCATGCTCAAGCACGAGCCCAACGTGCAGCACAAGCCGTAACGCAGGCTCAAGCTCATGCTGAAGCCGTAGCCCAGCGCGCCTAGGAAATCCGAGACATTTTCGAGCACACCATGCAGCGGACGGTGCGCGAAGCTCTAAGTGGTGCGGATAGACAGGCGCGTGAAGAGTCGTCGAAAGCGGCTCACACTCATGGCCCGTTGACTGATGAAGATTGTATGGAACGAGGGGAGATAAGGGTCGGAGGAGAAGAGCCTTATCCTTCGCCTCCACCTGCTAAAGAAGCCTATCACCATTGCGACTTCGACCACTGCGATGGATTTTGCACGTTCCTTAAAGACTAAAGGCGCATGTGGAGGTCGAGCTTCCGAGTAAGGACGCCACGGCTGGCGAGATAAATATGGAACCTTGGTCGTCAAGGAGGAGATATATTCTGGTATGATGGGACAAGATACGGTAATCCTGTATAGATAGCCCAATGGATACTGCGTCGTTAGTATATTTTTTGGAAGAGTCATATATAATGATGCGAAGAAAGACCAAATTATAAGCATGATGTAGAAGCTTGAACATTAGGTGTAAGTTATAATCAAGTATGACAAGACTTAGCGAAGGAAAGGGGGTATATCAACCAACCAACCAACCAACCAACCAACCAGTCTAGGCAATGGGGAAAATCAAACGCACACAGACGCAGCCCTCAAACGCAAGTACGGAAAGCAAACTACTTGAAGCAAATCAACGCCTAGATTGTCTCATTCTGGAATCGTGTAGACAGTACGTAAAACAGGATTTGCGCAGTTACATGGTCGTCGTGAATCTGTTCATGGAAAAGCTTGTCAGCAAACTACTTCCTCTCCCTTGTCTCTCCATCCACAGGCTTGACGCTTGTACTGCCTTCGAGAGGAGGAATGTAACCTAATTGCTTCTCGTTGCCCCCTTCCATTGGCGTGAATGGAGTGAAACCGCCTTCAGGCGATGCCTGCCACTTTGCCATGTCCTTCTTCAACTGTTCCAACTCCTTCTGGAAGCGGTTGCCGAAGACGTCGATGTAATAGGTTGCGCCGTTGTAGACACTCCAGATGAAGACCACGGTAAGGAACAAACCACTAGGCCAGCGGTACCAGAACCAGACGGGGCAGGGTAGCATCGTGAGGACAGCATAGCTGTATTGGATGAACATGAAGGCGGGCTCTTGCATGAAGTCGGGCAACGAGAGGACAATCTTGCCGATCCATGTTTTGGCGTACGACTTGCGCAACCATGTGAAGCTGGTAGGTCGGCCAGCGGCAATTTTATCGCGGCGACGTACTGTGATGAGCAGGTGGTAGGCGACTTGCCAGACAGCATATGGGCAAGTGGCCCAGACCATCATTTGCAGTAAGTTGTAGTGGTGAGGCGATGCTGGGTCCGAGTGACGGATATCGTAGATGGCGGGATATTGCTCTTGTTGATATTCCGGGGGCAGCAGGTGAACAAGGCAATGCAGAGTGACGCAGGGCATGATGTGGATGAACAGACTACGCTGGTTAGTACTTGATTGATGTTAGAGGAATGCACTCCTTACCTGACGACCTTATCCATGCTGTGGAACACGAGCGAGTTACGCCACATGACAATGGCGACAGCGTTGTTTCCCATGCAGAGGCAATATGTCGCGATGAACAGGCGCTTAGACTGCGGGAAGACCCATACACTCAGGACCAGTAGTATGTTGACAAAGTAGCACAGATCGGCCAGGAAGTAGTGGTAGCCCTTCTTGTGGTAGGTCATGAAGCGGATGGGCATAAAGTAGAGCAACTGGGCCGTGTACCAGTGTGGGAACAGGTCGGGGTGGCAGCCCACCAAGTATCCGGAGACGAAGATGTTCATGACGGCGGCGATGAAGGAGGCCTTTTCGCGCGCAGTAACGGTGAGCGATTCGTTCCAGCGGCGGTTCAGGCGATCGACTGAATGGCGCATGCGTCTCTTGTACTTCTCGAGCTGCTCTGCTTCCGACGGCACTCTGCGCCGCCATTCTTCCACGACGCGATCTTTTGTGATGCCCCGGTTCTTCGCTTGGTTCTTGATCTTCTCCGTCTGGGAGGCTATGGAGCTCTGGATCTTCTCAATACGCTGCGACAGGGCGAGATTCTCGACAAAGTCGAACATGGTGAGCTTCTCGACGGGCGGGAAAAAGGCGGCATCTTCGACGTCGGAGTCATCGTGGTAGGAGCTGTTGGAGAAAGAGGCAGAGCGAGAGAGACCAGGCGTAGAGAGTGGTTGGTTTGCGGAGGACGCGGGCTCATCCAGCAGCGCAGAGCCGGCATGCGTAGAGTCGCCTGGTGTCGGACGGGCCGAAAGCTCAGAGACTCCCAGCTGCGGTTCCGACCTGGATTTGGGTATACCGCCTACATCTGCATCTTCGGGGGTCGACATGTTGGGGAGTTCTTCTTGGACGATTTCGAGGCTAGAGGGTGTTCGGCGGTGGAGGGGTCTCTTGAAGGGACGCGGGGGTGAACCTGCAGCCGTCATCGCTGTTAGCCGCTGTATATCGCTGGGTGTGCCCCCGGTCCATGGCCGGAGCAGAGGCGGTATATCTTGGAAGAGAGCGTACAGTGGGAATGGGCGGCTTAGATCAGATCTAGTCAGACCCTATGCTCTCATGACAAGGCGAGTGATGTGCGGGGTTCGTGAATCGTGCTCCTCTAGGAATTTCGGGGCTTCTGGGGGAGAGGTCGTGGGTGAATGCAAGCTGGTGATTGGCAAGCTTCACAACGTCATCGCAGGCACCCGTGGCATGCGAGGTGGAAGAGGTCACGAGGGGAGGCGAGGTGGATAGAGGGTTCAGAAAGAGGGCGCAGAATGCCCGAGACTGCAGCGAATATAGGAAAATGGCGTGTAGAGAACCAGGGCCGGTGTAGAGCTCCCCTGCCTGCGGCCACGCTTTCGTCACTGCGGGCCATCATGCACGTCGAGCCACTAGCGCGCTTTGGCCGTCAACGCGACTACGCGCGACAACACGACGATTATCACGGGCAGCCCACCCCGCGACTCTCCACCCGCCCAACACGACCCTCTCACAGCGCAATCACCATTTGAGGTGTCGCGCAACTCCACCGCCATCATGGGAAAGCTCGTGCGGCTCGAGATCTACAGTAGGCCCCCAGACGCGCAATTGCACGCATACACGGACTAAACATGCGCAGACTTCAAGTCCTACCGCGGACGCCACACGCTTCTCTTTGGCGACTCGTACTTCACCTCCATCATCGGTCCCAATGGCTCTGGCAAGTCGAACAGCATGGACGCCATCTCCTTTGTTCTGGGAGTCCGCTCGTCCCATCTGCGATCCGAGAAGTTGAAGGATATGGTCTACCGCGGCAGGATCATCCAGGAAGCGAGAATCAACGCCGATGGCACCGTAACCGAAGCCGACGGCGAGGCGAATGGCGAGGCGAACGGTCAGTCCAATGGCGATACACAGGACAACGGCGACTCGCAAACCAGCTCACAGCGCAACGACCCTCAGAATGCATGGGTCAAGGCCGTCTTCGAGGACGATGCTGAGCAGACACACGAGTGGCAGCGCGCCATCACCAGCTCTGGCTCTAGCGAGTACCGAATCAACAACCGGATCGTCACCCAGAAGCAGTACGGCGAGGCGCTGGAGGAGCACAGCATCTTGGTCAAAGCGAGGAATTTCCTCGTCTTCCAGGGAGACGTGGAGAAGCTTGCGACGACCGCGCCCGAACAGCTCACACTACAGGTCGAGCGCATCTCTGGCAGTCTGGAGCAAAAGGCCGAATACGACCGCCTGAAGGACGAGTCCGAGAACGCTACCGAAGACAACGCAAAACATCTGCACGAGCGTCGCGGCATCAACGGAGAGCTCAAGACATATCAGGAGCAAAAGGCCGAAGCCGACGAATACGAGAAGAAGCTTGCCGAGCGCGATGAAGCTGTTGTCACAAAGAATCTGTGGAAGCTCTACCTAGACCAGCAGATTATGGACAAGGCGCGGAACAAGATCGCCAGCCACCAGGAAGAGCTCAAGGAACACAAGCGCAGCGTCGAGAAGTACCACCAGCGGCACGAGGCGGAGAGGCAGGCCGAGGCTAAGATCAGGCGAGATCTGACCAAGACTGACCGGAATACCAAGGCCAAGGAGAAGGAGATCGAGGACGCCTCCAACGAGCTCGCTCCTATCGAGGAGAAGATCCGCCTTTCCAACGAGACCCGTCGGAAATACGAGAGCAGGCTCGAGGAGCTCCGGAAGAAGCGCGACGCTGAGAAGAAGGCTGTTGAGAAGTGCCAGAAGGACCTCGATCTGGTCCAAAAGGCCGAGAAGAAGTGGGAGGATGACTTCAAGGCGGCTGCCCAGAACCAGGGCCGCGAGCTTTCCGAGCAGGACCTTCAAGAATACGGCCGACTACGCAGCGACGTTACAAAGCAGACCCACGGAGACCAAATGCAGATAGACAAGCTCAGGCGCGAAGTTGAGACCGACCGGGACCATGTCAAGAACCTCCAGCAGAGCGTCGATAACCATGAGAAGGCTATCGAGAGGCTGAGTGCAGACATCAGCCAGCTCGAGGAGCGCCAAAAGGCTTCCAAGACGCAAATCAAGGATCTGGAAAGCGCAAGAGCCGCCAAACAGCAGGAGCTTGACAGACTCCGAGCCGATCGAAAGCAGATCGAGATGCAATACTACGAGAAGAACCAGTTGCTGCAAGAAGTCCTGAAGCAACTCAGCATCGTCGAAGGCAGCCGTCGAGAGTCAAGGAAGCAACAGGAGGCTCGCAGAACCATCGATCGCTTGAAGACTCGCTTTGGATCTGAGAAAGTGCACGGCCGATACAAGGATCTCATCACCCCCAAGATGCAAAAGTACCGCAAGGCTATTGGACGAGTGCTCGGATACCAGATGGATACTGTCATCGTCGACACCGAAACCACCGCCAAGTCATGCATCGAATACCTCAAGGCAGAGCGCATTGGTGTCATGTCTTTCAACCCGCTAGACTCCATTCAAATTCAGGCGGTAGACCCCCAACTAAAGGGTATGCACGAAGGCATGCGACTTGCTATTGACTGTATCAACTATGAGCCGAAGCATGAGCGCGCTATGACTGCGGCATGTGGCAACACCATGATCTGTAACACAGAGAAGCTTGCGAAAGAACTCAGATATACAAGGCGCATCGAAGTCAAAGCAGTCACCCTTGATGGTCGTGTGATTGGCAAAGGCGGTACACAGACGGGTGGTGAGCTTGACCGCGACGACGATTCAAGCGAGCAACAATGGGACGAGCGATCCTACCAGGCGCTCCTTGATAAGAAGAACAGATACGAAGAAGAGCTCCGTGCGCTTCCCAAGCAAGATCGCCAGTACACCCAGGAACAGACTCTCGAAGTCGAGTTGCTAGATCTACAGGAGCAAATTGCTCGAGCTAAAGACGAAGCTCGGGCACTTGGTCGCAACATTGAGAGCGTCAAGAAGGAGCTAGCACATCACAAGAGCGAGTTGAAGGGCGTTCGACCAAACTACGAGAAACAAGCACAGCGGCTCCAAAACCGGGAAGAAGAACTTCAAACCTACCAAGACATGGTGAATCAGGTCAATGACCAGGTCTTCGCCGCGTTCTGCCAACGGCTTGGCTACGAGTCCATTCGCGACTACGAAGCTCAACAGGGTACTGTTCAGCAGGAAGCAGCAGAAAAGCGTCTGGAATTCAGCAAACAGCGTAGCAGACTTCAATATCTGATGAAGCAGGTCGACTCATCGGCCCGAGGTGTTGAGGAACGTCTCAAGCAAGCCGAGGACGAGATTAAGCGCAAGACTGCCGACATTACTGAGCTCGAGGCCAAGCGAGAGGAACTGCAGAGCGCCCGGGACGTACTCCAGGCAGAACTGGAAACGCTCCAGGATCAACGACAGCGGTTGGAGGAGAAATTGGCTGAGCGCGTTGCAGCTGTCAAGGAAGCACGACGCACTCTAGACCAGCGCAATGAAAAGGTCAAGAATGTGCTGAAGGAGGTCGACCAGGAGGATGCAAAGATCAAGTCGAGCGCGACGAACCGCTACAATGTGCTCAAGGAGTGCCGTGTCAACGAGATTAAGATTCCACTCACGGAAGACTCTAAACCACTGACGTCCTTACCGATGACTGACATGCCGCGGCCAGACGCAGACGCAGACGCTATGGACATTGACGAGGACCCCGATTCGACCCAGATACAGGCTGCGGAGGTGGACGACTACGGCATCGAAGTCAATTTTGAAGAGCTGGACGATGAGTTGAAGACAGAAATTGTCGAGATACTTGAGAGTGTAAGTTCCAGAGATGACGCCTTCCTCATCACTTGTACTAACAGCATGCAGGAGGACGACACAGATGAACGCGTGCAATCTCAAGCTAGCAATCTGCTCAAGGCCGCTGAAGCCAAGTTGAATGATGTGATCACGAACCTCGAAACCGACATCAACAAGGCTACACCCAACATGCGCGCTGCTGAACGTCTCGTTGCGACAGAAGCGCGTCTTAAAGCCATCGACGAAGCATTCGCCGAGACGCGCAAGCGCGCTGCTGCAGCAAAGAAGGCTTTCGAGGAAGTCAAGACCAAGCGCTACGACCTTTTCATGAAGGCTTTCAACCATATTTCCGAGAACATCGGTGGTACCTACAAGGACCTGACCAAGTCGCCGCAGTTCCCACTCGGAGGACAGGCGTATCTTGACATGGAAGACAGCTCGGAGCCGTACCTCGCAGGTCTCAAATACCACGCCATGCCACCGCTCAAGCGTTTCCGCGACATGGAGCATCTCTCTGGTGGTGAAAAGACCATTGCCGCGCTTGCTCTGCTGTTCGCCATCCACAGCTACCAGCCCTCGCCGTTCTTCGTCCTCGATGAAGTTGATGCCGCATTAGACAACGTCAACGTCAGCAGAGTGGCCAAGTATGTACGCGAGCATGCTAGCCCAGGTATGCAGTTTATCGTCATCTCTTTGAAGGCAGGTTTCTTCCAAGAGAGTGAGACGCTGGTGGGTGTCATGCGGGACCAGGGCAAGATGACGAGCAAGTATTTGAGTTTAGATGTAAGTTGCTCCCTTCACGTGAACATAGCACATTCGCTAACTCTACCACAGCTGAGGAGATACCAGCCTGCCTAGCTTTTCGGGCAATGCAACGGACTAGCCGCCTTTAATGATAGTAGCCTGTTATGAAATGTGCATTCAATACCTCGTTACCGTTTTTATGCATGGTCCGGTCTGCGGAAGTCGTACAGTTACTGTAGTCTATTCTGTACATTAGCAACCTGACGTTTTCTGCAGCTGCATCCTCATTTTCTGTGAATGCGTCTCGACATCCCGATTTCCCGTGATATCTCATACGACCTGCCTATCTGATCCAGCCCCACTGCGCCCTGCGGACATAACGCGGCTTATGAAAATTGTCCCAGCAACTACGCGTCGCAGCTTACCGATCATCGCCATGACAACTCTGAAGAGTCATACTCGTACGTGAAAGAGCTATAGCTAAAGCTCATTCTCGCACGACTCCATGTCTTGAGTAGCGTTCAACGTCTTGACGTTGCAAGCCAGCACGACCCCGCCGCAATGACCCCGAACCTCCCACGCGACGAGCATGTCCCTGCGAGTGAAACCACCCCACTCATACCAAACCCCACGAACGACGCGCAGACACTCAACGTAGAAACTGGCATCGCACCAGAAGGACTCCACGCAGAAGATGGAGGAGACATAGAACGACAAATCAGCCATGGCGACGCGTTCAAGCACCAAGGCCTGCCCGAAGTCAGGAAACGGATGAAATATATATTTCCTGCTATTGCTATCGGAGTAAGCCTCCATCCTATTCCCCATACTTGCATAGTCCCCAAACGTTCTCGATACTAATGAATTAATGTATAGGTCTTCCTCTCCTCCGCTGACCAAACCCTCGTAATAACCACATACGGCACCATCGGCACAGACCTACACGCCCTCTCCTCCACCTCCTGGATCGCAACCGGCTACTTCCTCACGCTCTCTGCCTTCCAACCCCTCTACGGCAAGCTCTCCGATATCTTTGGTCGCAAACAATGTCTGTTGTCTGCGTATCTGATCTTTGGGGTTGGCAGCGTGGGATGTGGGCTTGCGAGGAGTATTGGGGAATTGGTTGCTGCGAGGGCTTTTGCGGGGATAGGCGGCGGTGGGATGAGTGTGTGTACGAGTATTTTGCTGAGTGATATTGTGGGATTGCGGGAGAGGGGACAGTGGCAGTAAGTGGAGAGGTGTGTATCGTGTGTGAGATTAGAGACTGACGAGTACGCTTGCGTTTAGGGGCTATGTCAATTTGGTGTATGCGTTTGGTGCTTCGGCTGGGGCACCCCTCGGCGGGTTACTCGCGGATAGCATTGGATGGCGGTGGGCATTCCTGGCACAAGGTCCGATGTGTGCCGCAGCCTTCATTGCTGTGTCATTGGTACTTGATCTCCCAGAGCAAGACCACTCGCACTGGAAAGAGAAGATCAAGAGGATAGACTTCCTGGGCGCGGTCATCCTGATCTTTGCCGTCTTCGGTTTACTTGTCGGTCTCGATCGCGGCTCCAACGTATCCTGGAGTAACCCCATTACCATTGTCGGTCTCGCTTCTACGCCGCTGTTCGTCGTCTTTGTGCTAGTCGAGAAGTACGTCGCAAGTCATCCCTTCGCCCCAGGCCGGATCATCCTCAACAAGACGCTCTTCGCATGCTATCTTTGCAACTTCTTCTCTTTCGGGGGATGGCTGGCTGCCTTGTTCTTCATACCGCTCTACTGGCAGGTCATGGGCGACTACAGCGCTTCCAAAGCTGGACTGTTCCTTGTCCCTTCCATCATCCTCGGTGTTAGCGGCTCGCTTTTCAGCGGCTTTTACATGAGGCGTACCGCGAAGTACTACTGGATCACCGTCATGGCGTACACGAACCTCACAATCGGGCTCTCATTCCTGCTCTTATTCGCTGGTATAATAACCGAGAGCTTACCCGCGATGGTGGTGGGTACATGCGTATGCTCTTTTAGCAACGGCATAGGAGTAACGACGACACTCATCGGCCTCATTGCGAATGCCTCCCACACCGACCAGGCTGTTGCCACCGCTTGTTCCTACCTTTTCCGCTCGCTCGGGTCAGTCTTCGGTGTTTCCATGTGCGCTACGGCGTTCAACCAGACACTCCGCAAATCTCTCCAGGAAAAGCTGCAGGGTGACGATGCGGCTGAGATCACGGAGCGTGTCAGGGCGGGATTGGCTTACTACAGGGGTCTGGATCCGGCACTCAAGAGCATCGTCCGGGAGTGTTACGGAAGAGCTACTAGGGCGGCATTATGTGTAGGCATTGTGCTTGTTGCAGGGAGCGCCATCTTTGCGTGGTTTATCAAAGAGAAGAGTCTTGAAGACAGCAAGAGTAGGAGTGTTGAGCCGGAGGAATCTGCAGAGTGAAGCAGGGTTCTAGGAGTCGGAGGCCTCCGAAAGCGTCACTGGGATGGCAACAATCTGTCTCTGCTCTTCTTCTGAAGAGCTATATGATGCAACTAGACGCAAATCTATACTATCCCTGGAAACTTTTGAGGTGGTAGAAGAGGCATAGGGTGTATTCTCGGTGTCTTTGAGGGTGTCGGGATCTGACTGTCCTGGACTCACCGCTCGTGCTGGGCAAACATGACTTAGTATCACAGTAGTGCGTAGTTTCCACGACAGTGTCTTAGGACTCAACAGACGCATAATGGGGAGCTCATATGCTGGTCGTATAAACATGATAGCTTAGTCACACTCCTTGGCTGTCCTCGCTGAGGTATTAGCTGACTGTATTTGTACTAGGTGAACGTTTGACCAGCGCCGACCAACGGGTTCCCCTTATTTGCATACTAGATCTTCCGCTCACAAACTTAATGCTGTATTCATTCTGCACGCAAATTCGTATAGACCTTACGACTTCTCGTGTCTGAGCCCGATGTTGTGAGGCCGGCAGCACGAGCATCAAGAGCTAGCACCACGCTAACCCGGCGATGATCGAGAGCCTGCCACGATCCCTACCCCTAGTCACACAGTTACTCTCGTACCCGATCACACGATAGCGTCCAAAACAGAGCCTCGATCCAAAAAGGACCGTTCTCACCCATACCCGAGAAGCATCGTCGCGGGAGGCGCGTACATAGCTAAGTCGCGTTCTGCGCTTTCCTTTCGCGCCCGATGACGTGTTCCGACACCGCATTCTCCAAGCGCGACTGCCAATGCAAGCTCCTGAGCACATGCACGATACAGTCACTTCGATAGTTTGCGACTCCCCAGACCGCTCCCACTCTACATCATGTTGCATGTTCGCGAAAATCAGAAACGTCGAGACCGTGGGCAAAACCCACCCGTACAATGGACCCGTTTGAGTATGACACAAGGCGTTATACCCGCATTTGGGTCTTATCACCTCCACCGCAACCCAGAGAAGTAATACGACGATCCACCCCGCGCACTGACACCTAAGTGACACCCATAATTCCCATCGGCGTGGCGCTACGTTTGGAGAATGACGTCAAGCTCCATGCGGGCGCGTTCCTGGCGCGGCCCGTAGCGGTGGATATTCCAATCAAAGCTGCGCTCAGCACCAATGGCGCCATGCCAGCTGTCCAAGCCATCATCAAGCATGAGGCGATTCATAAGAAAGTAGGGCTTGAGTGGGGAAGCAATCCGTTGCGGAGCTTATTCAAAGGGGTCTGTGGGTTGGAGAGCGTGGGACGTTTTGTATAGGTAACAGAGGACCCCTTTGCGGTGGTGCCTAGAACGTGACTTCTTAGGGCCTCAACTCTTAGTTCCAAGCTACTTTGGCTCCACTACTCTCAGCTCCCCTTTTGTTGCGAGTCAGGTTTGTTTCCGTCTTATACATATCAGGGAAGTACGGCGCGGCAGGAAGCAGGAACCGAAGGACAACAAGTGAAAACAGCAAAGTCTGACCATGAGCGTCGCTGTAATAGTAAGCATACCTCCTATTCGGTCCGTATATGTGCAAGCAAGGCATGTTGTTCAGATGACGAATAGGCGTACTGACGACCGACCCCAGAACCCTCCCGATGATCCGGCGAATGTCGTGCAGTCGCTCGTGAACACACTCTTAGATGTCTTTGATGCCACGAGGGATCTTTATGGAACGCTCACGGCTAAAGAGCAAAGAGACTATGAACAAAACCTGCGCAGCAAAGGGTACCCTGCTTCAAGGCGGATCGAATATGTAAAGGATGAGCGACTGGGTAGCGATGAAGCTATCGTAACAGATAAAGCGGTGGTTATGAGACAGATGGATATTGGATGTGAAGCTCTGGGGGCTGAATTCGCCATGGGCGATGGTATGCATCCTCTTCTCTTCTGAGCCCCATGCGACCCCATCAGCTAACGAGACACTACCAGTAATCGCGCATACAGCCCTCCAGTCACAGATCATTACTCTCCAAAGCGTACTGGTGACGACGTTCCTGTACGGACCCACCTCCGGCGACACCATCGCCCATCAGCTGGCCAATATCAACGCGGCATCTAGAATAGCAGCTGCGACGTCGGTCGAGATATTGGCTGCGTTGCAGGAACGTCAACAAGATGAGAGGCCACTTACTCCGAGGTCGATGCACTCTTTTACGGCACGTTCGAGCCCGTCACATGCGCCATCACAAGCAATGACTCTCCATACATCGCACGCGCCTTCACATGTATCGTCACATCATACATCACGCCCGCCTTCGCATGCGCCATCACACGTCTCGTCTCACCATACCTCCCATGCGCCATCGCATGTACCATCACACGTAACATCCCGGACACGATCTCGTGCGAAGTCTTTGACGGGGTCCCACGCGCCGTCTTATGCACCATCCCACATCATGTCGCAGGCACCTTCCCATGCGCCTTCACACGTGCAATCACATGCACCATCTCGCGCACTGACACTGCCTCAGTCTGGTGCTAGTGTGAGTTCAGCATCCGCAGCTCTAACGAAGTATCAAGAACCACGGTCCAGGAGTTCACACGTGCGAGGTAGCAGCCCAGTCAACACGACAGTGCTCGCATGGCGAGACAACGTCGAACCAGATCAGTCAGTCACCGACGCCACCTCCGTAACCGGACCTACCATGGTCTCGAGTTCTAACAACCTATACTGCGTATACGCATACGACCTTCAACGGAACCCGACCCAGCAACTTGCCTCCAAGATTACATCAGACCGGGATCCCTATTGTCCACACTGCAAAGGCGAACTCCACCTCTCACCAGGAAAGGCCTGGGAAATTTCCAAATGGGCCGACGACACAGAACGAACCTTTCAGGTCCAGAACCGCTTCGTCGTCAAGTGTCATCGTGACGGACCCGATGGCCAATACTGCTGCGTCATCTGCTCCAAATACGCCGACTCGGATACTATTTGCGGCGATGTTAAGGCTCTTATCAAACATCTCTCGGACGATCACGATACCCGGCAGCTCAAGCATGAAGAAGATATTGTGGAGGTTATTGAACAGCCGGCTAGTCGTAGGGACAGCGGGATCGGGTATTCTACTTCGACGCGAAGTAAGGGGAGTCGGAGAAGCGCTAGTTTGGCGGAGGGAGGACGGAGACGAAAGAGTCTGGCTGGATACGATCGCGAGCTTGATTCGTTTGATGGTAGATTTTCGAGGAGGTAGTTGCGTGTTTGCGAATTGGTTTTCTGGTGGTTTCATGGGTAGTGCGGCATTGCCAGGGTCTTTTCTTGTTCTTGCTGTGGTTCGCTTGGGCTTGTACTACCGCCCTCGTCTCTTTTGGTACGAAAAATACGTTCCTCGTTTCTTAGCGTCATCCTCCCTCTTGCGATTAGCTTAGCATAGGCGTTACCATTTTGTACAATTGCCTCATCTCACAACCTCAGTCGCAGAAACCAGGATACAATTGTACAATTCAATTAGCCTACCATTCTCCAATATATATCCCCTGTCCCTCGCTCCCCATTCCCCATCCGTCACCCCGCCGCATCAGCCATCCATCACTCCCGCACCAGTCAAAACCCCTCTCGCGTATATGCTCACGCAGTCCGCACCACAAAACCACCATTCCATGATTTGATCCATGAACACATGCAGCGCTATCCAAAACATACATACCGACCACATCCAAAACGGACAATGCACGTTTCCCGCAATCCACGGTTTGCGCGAAGACCTACTCGATGCGGTAAATTCAGGATGAGATACAGGTTGCAGTGGGACCCAGTTGACCCGGGGGTGAGGTTATGCGCAAAAGTAAGCGTACGGCATCATGCGCGCGCGTGTGTAATGTGTGGGTAAATCTTGTTGTGAGGTTTGGGGAGGATTTACCATTGTCTGTTTTGGGACTAGGGTGGTGGGTGTTTGGTGGGTGCAGGTGGTTGGGGCGGCCAGAGGGTTACATGGTGTTGGGTCGTGCTGTGAGGCTCATGCTGAGTACGTGTTGTACCTACTACGCATTCTGGAAATGCGCGACTTGGCCTTTGGGATGTTGGAGTAGATGATGGAGGTGGCCGAACGGGTGGGTGACTAAGCAATGGTACCGAGATGGCCGATGCTCGGACTTGGAGATGCCCAGGTGCGGCCTGTTAAACATCCCTCCTCTCAATTGTCATTACATCCCGGCTTTCGAGCATGAAGTCGTAGACACTGAACGCTTTCCTACCGACTTCGGAGCAACGCATTATCTCCGCAAATGTTATGTCCAACTAACTCCGCGACTAACCCAGGCTGCAGCAACGACTGAACTTATAGCAACGCTCTTGCTCTCCGCTGCTCAAGTTGCGCACTACGCTTCCAATTGACTATTTTTTTCACAGATTACATACCACTACCTCAATCACCAACAATGTCCGGACCATACCTTCACGGCCATCACGCATCCGTCCTCCGCTCCCACAGCTGGCGCACTGTCGAGAACTCGTGTCCTCACCTCCTTCCTTACCTCAACAACCCTTCGCTCAAGATCCTCGACGTGGGCTGTGGCCCAGGAACCATCAGCGTTGATCTTGCTGCGCGCGTCCCACAAGGCTTCGTCTATGCCATCGATCCCTCTGCCGAAGTCATCGAGAAAGCGCGAAAACACGCGGCGGAAAAGGGCGTCACAAACATACGGTTCGAGGCTGGAGACATCTTCGAATGGAATAAGCTCGATGGCATAGAAGAGGCAGGCTTCGATATTGTACATGCGCATCAAGTGCTGCAGCATCTACAAGACCCGCTGGGCGCGATGAAGGAAATGAAGCGCTTAACCAAGGCAGGTGGTGTCGTTGCAGTACGAGATTGCAACTACAGCGCGATGGACTGGTACCCAGAGCATCCAGGGATGCAGAAGTGGAAGGACCTATACATCAAGATCGCGTTCGGGCTCAAAGCACATCCGAACATGGGCAAGTACCTGCATGCGATAGCCATGCAAGCGGGCTTCCCAAGAAGCGATATCGAGGCTAGTGTAGCCGCCTGGACATTCAGCACACCAGAAGAAAGACAGTGGTGGTGTGGACTCTGGGCCGATAGGACAGTACAAAGCGACTACAAACAGAGAGCTCTGGACAGCGGCTATGCGACGGAGCAGGATCTGGAAGAGATCGCAGCGACATGGAGAGAAATGGAGAAGAAGGAGGATGGCTGGTTCGCTGTTATCAACGGACAGGTCATCTGCCACGTTAGGTAGGATCTATAGGTAATAATCCGAAGCCTGCCTAGAGTTTCTCCTCGGTCTTTCTCAACATACTCCACTTACTTACTTCCTATCGGACGTAGCCGTCTTCCTTACCCCCCGTATGGCGAAACACCTATCCCACGCGTCTCACTTGCCTCCAATCGCAAGATCCACCGCATTTACCGCGTGCCAGTCATCTGACGGCATGTGCGCTAGCCGCCTCGGCTTGAAGTAGCTGCCTGGCCCTGCAGAAGCTCTGTATATCAACCCCACTTTACCCCTCCATCCTCTATCATCTATCAGCATTCTACTATTCCACGACATCGCAACATTCACCTCACCACAAACTTCAAAGAAGAGACAGCAAACAGTCAATATGCAGTCCACAATCGAACTTGTCAACTTCCACAGCGACTGCCCAAAGTGCGGCTCTACTATTAGCGGCGATGCGAAGACCTGTGGATCTTGTGGCAGCGTAAGATGCTGGAACAACATTGTGTAGGCAGAACATAGCTAACTTGCGCTACAGTCTTGCCCAGTCTAAGACAATGAATATATTGTGTTTGCGTGGGTTGGCGAAGTTGGGGGTTGAATGAAGCGGATACCCGGAGATCGGACGTGTAAGGCGTTGATATGGCTGGGGGGCAAGAGAACGGGAGTTTGAACGGTATGTGCACGTTTAGTGAGTGATCGAATGAGACATGATATTACATTACATGGACTTCTCGTCTCTGCAAACACACCTCGATTACATGCGCTCCGCCTCTTTCCTATGCGCCCTTCCCTCTTAAATCTCTCCTCCTTCCGTTCAGCCATCTCACCTTGACATCATCAATGTGTTCTCTTAATACGCAGGTACGTCAAAGTCAGTCCCGCAAACAGCACCACCACTGTCAAGAACATGAAGACCGAGTTTGCTTGACTTTGCCTGCACCGCGTATTAAGCTTGGCTTCCTGGTCGGCCCAGCTGGCATAGTAGCAGATGCCTACTCCATTCTTCTCTGTGCATCCGCCGTTCAGGATGTCAATGCTGCCAAGACTACCTTTGAAAGGGTATCCACGGTTACCGACCCTGTTTCGGTCGCTCTCGTCATAACAGTTCTTGCCCTTAAGTCGTATGGCAATGAGCTGTATATCTGGTCAGCATTCACTCCTAAAACGCTATCCAGTCGCAAAACGATCTGCATCAAGTATGAGATGACTTACAACGCCGCCGACGAGATTGGCGAGCAGGACAGCAATGTCGAGGAGTATCTCGAAGAAACCTCGTAAGAACTCCGTCCATGATAGCACGAAGCCTACAAGTGCACCAGCAATAGTAAGACCGCCGATGGCCGCCGCAAAGGGAAGAAGAGTAGGTAGTTTGGATATGGTCCAATGAAGAGGATTGTGGCCTCTGATGAGTGTTACGGATAAGCCTAGGACGATAATTCCGAAGAGTGCTTGGAGAGCACGAAGGATGGATGAAGGTATCAGGGTTCTGGTGAATGCCATTGTGAGAAGTGATCAAGGACGAGCTATGAGGAGGTTGACGATGCTAATCTTCGGTGTTTGTAGGAGAACAGGAAGAAGCAAGCGGAGAAAGCGTGCACATGATACAAGCAGATTGACATGATGTCTACACAGCCCTGCGGGTTCCTGCGATATGTTCCGCGACGACAATGTCGTGCAGTCACACCACTTTGGAGTATATCACCGGTTCGTACCTTTTGGGTAGAGCTTTCCGTGCTATCTTCTCTTGCACAACACTGATTCTCCACCATACCGAGAAAACGCCTTGGCGATTCAAGGCAGACGTGCCCTGTCTGGGATAGCCACCATGGGTATTGCGTTATGCGATTCTACAGGCTCGTATGAATTGCGTACTCTTTCAACAGTCCATCCACCCACTCTTCATCCTTTCTCCGTCCTTACATATATCAAGAACCAGATGAAGAAGACCACCGGTACGTTTTCAAGTGTAAAGCCAATATTACATTGGTAGAGAACGCAGCGGTTTCTTATGCCAGTAAAGTCTTCGAAAGAAGCAAAGTAGCAACCCATGAATTCAGGGTATCCTATGTCCCACCCTGCACAGACGACCTCATCATCGTACGCACCACCATCATCGCGTAAATAGCCTTTTACTTCAGAAGCTATCATCTAAGGTCGCGAATTAGTAAAACAATATTGCTGCATAGCTGTTGTGCTAAGTTGTAAACTTACAGCGCCTACAGCTATATTCAGCGATAAAACACTGGCATCAATGGTGTTTCTAATCCACGGATGCAGGTAGTTACGGAGAATGGCGGTTAAGAGTGCAGCAAGCAACGTTGATAAGCCCACTGCGATTGAAGAGACTAAGATAGGTGGAAGATAGCCTCTTTCATGGCCGGTGATCAAAAATATAGTGATGATGGATACGATGATGCTGAAGAGGGTCTGGATCCCGCGTACAACCAAGACGGGAAAAGATGGGGAAAGGCGCATTGTGGTAGACGAGTTGTGTTTTACTTTAGATGTCAGGTATCTGATGGTTTCAAAAATGGTATGAATTGGAAGGTATGTTCTGCCATTAGAATGACACATAAGGACGGCTGCTTCATACGATATGGAAGATCACAATACTCGATGTTGTTCGCAACGGTGTCACCTTTCATCCGCCTTGGCTCTAGCAATGTTTGACAGCACAGTTGCGCAAAAGCGGACAGCAAGTACGTGCAACTTCATCTTTCATTACTTCGTGTTCATTAATGACGTCTGCCAGCGGCAGCACATAGACCGGGACTAGACTGCATGCACCATCATAAAGGGTGTACCTAATCAGTGAAGAACGAAAAAGAGCGTCGAAACGCTTGTCCATGTACCAAATCGCGCTGATGATGGAATCGCTTCAACTTAGTGGGGTATCGTAATACGAGAAAGAGGCCGTTGTGAAATCCCCTAGAGGCATCCGCAGCACTACGTCGAGTGTGGGTAATTCGGATCATCGCTACAATGCTTTATGATCGCTGTGAGGATTAGCGAGATGGGATTGAGTGCTTTGATCCGGGAATACTCACCATCGCGCTACGCCAAATCTAGTAGCCCTTCTTCATACGCAAGAAAGCCAGCAAGGCGGTCACCGCGAGGACAATGACGGTGAGGAACATGAAGACGCAGTCGGCTTGGGTCGACTTGCACCTCGACTTCATGGTGTTGGGGTCATTTTTCTCGTAATAGTACCAGCAGTTGTCTTTGGCTATGCAGCCGCCATTGAAGATGTCGTTGAGAACGAGCTTAGTCGCGTTCTCTATAGTTGTGTCGGCATCGCAATCCACACCAGAGATCTTGAGAGCGAGAACCTATATCCTTGTCAGCAGATGTATCCAGTCGCAGGTCTGTGAACGGTCTTTGACAGTCCCGGCTAGTACTTACGATGCCACCTGCCGCGTTGATGACAGCAACAGCGCCGTCAACTATCAATCCAATCATACCATCCAAGAAGCTGAAGAACAGTCCTGCGACCCCAATCGCTGCACCTAGGATCGTGACGCCACCGACAAAGGCTGAGAAGCCTAGACTAGCGGGGAGACCACCCCAGTGATGGCCGCGAATGAGTGAGACCGATATTCCGAGTACCACAATACCGAAAAGAGCCTGGAAGCCGCGAACGACAAAGTTGAGGAGCGGGTTCGCGATGACCATGGTGTTAATTTGTGTTTGTAACAAGCCGTGTGCGTATTTTGATGAATGATGGGTCGCTGCGGTAGCAGATGTGCTATCGGTTTCGTTTGTAAGAGGAAAGGCTCTCCCGGCGCGTAGTGATTGAAGTGAGAAGTGAAGAGAAAAAGAAGTCGCGACGGGTACCACCTCACTATTTACGTGTCTGCGTTCGTTTGCACACCCACGTCATTTGCTATTGGCCTTGCCCTCGTCTGTGCCACCTTTACATGGCAAGAGCAGTTTCAAGTCATCGTGCGGCGTCCAAGGCAGACATACTGGCGGCAAAGCCCTATGGCTGTCAGGGTCGTACCACATGTATGGGTCCGTTTGGGGGCCAGCCCTGCTGTGGTAAAGGGATCTACGGATACGGGTGGTTGCCTGGGGTTGAATCGGAGAGTTTGCCACATTCGGCCTGACTGGGTAGTAATGGAGTTAGATTAATATTGTGTTTAGCTTTTGCGAATAGATTCAAGTTTTGTACTGTGACTCATAGTAATCACCGTGATGGAAGCGATATGTCGTTGCTCTACCTGCTTGTACTATGGCGAGATCAAAGCGTGGAGTATTTCGAGCTGGGGATCGGACAAGCTCTATCCCAATCACATCTCCCATGAACAACCGTAAGCTCATTGTTGGAGAGCGTTGCAACTTTTTGATGTCGGCGACTGCTAAAGGCTATGGTTGTCAATGCATCAGGCGCCCACCTGGGCAGAGATTGGGGGCCGTATTGGAAGTTTTTCACCGGTCAACGTGTAGCCTGTTTCACAGAACATGGTGCAAGGCGACAGCTCACGCGAGGCTAGGTGCATACATATAACTCTTGATTACCCGGACCTATAGACTCGGTGGTGCAGTGTCAGAGGTATGCATGAGAGTGTGCTCGTCACAATGCCCTTTGTGGCTGTGCTCGGTTCGACCAATGAGAGCGCGTCGCGAAGCGGAAAATCTATTTCGGGCTTCAGCCCCCGCTACCTGCCTGCTTACCCGTCGTGTGCATCTCAAATGGAATCAACCCGCACCGCTCATCAGTGCTGCACGTCTGAATATACGTCGTTTGAATGTAGTATTGGAGTGACTATGTCATCACGTGATGTTACGATCCAGTCCCAAAGTCTGCTCTCAGCGAAGAAAGACACACGGGATGACGTGCAACTTGGCATACGCTACGTCTACTGCAGCCAGCATATCGCCATCTCATTTCAACTGTTTTCTGACATGCTACAGCTAACCTGCATCTAGGGTATGAGAATAGCTGCAGCAGTCAAGATCGCCTTCGCTGTCCTCCCAACAAAGTCACCCGCTAGACTAAGATTGCCCGCAGTAACGGCTTCCGTCACACCAGGATATGTAACAGGCGCATAGCCAGTGTCGATACCAGGAGCAAAGACAAGATTTCGATAGAAATCTCTGCCCGGAAGCCCGCCCTGGCTGACGAACCCGCGCCCAAAACCGCGCGCCTTGTGATTGAGCTGCTCCATCATAAGCGAACTATTCGAGCTCACAGCCATTTCACGGGCGGCATTGAACTGTTGTGCCGAATCTTCGAACGCGATAACTGCACTCTCGAGCTGTCCAATCTCTACTGCGGTTGTCGCATTCGCGTTCTCAATGACCCCCTTCAAGTCCTCGAGCCACGCCCGCATCTCGACCCCATAGTTCGCCGGCTCAAGCGGTACAACCTCTTCGTCAACCAATCGATATAACATCAGAGTCAAGAACTGACCGATAGCCTTGTGCATCAAGAACCCCGGATCCGCAAACTTGGTCATCCAGTGATAGGAATCGAAGTTCGAATGTGTGTGATAAATCGGATCGAGTGGCGCTCGTGTGGTGCCCATATCGATGGCGGAGATGCCAACTCCCTGAACGAAAGCTGTGTAGTCACTCTGCGCACCTAGGGTATCGATCTCGCCAGTCTTTTCTTCCCATTCGTCGTATAGGGTGCGGTTTGAGCCATGCGGCCAGATGATCTTTCGTGCTGTAGACGTGGTGAGGGCGTGGAGATCGGGAGTGGCACCGAAATCTGGGATGGTGCCTGCTATGCCTACGTCGATGTTGAGGTAGGATACTACAGAGGATTTCAGCCAGGGTACGTATTCTTCGACCCACTCGGTGCTGTTGTCTTTTAGCTTGGTCTTTCCCATGAAAATCCCAACTTTAATGGTTTACCTTCCGACTAGACCGTATTCCTCAGCATCCCAGCTACACAACACAATGGTTCGTTTCGGCTTCCAACCCGTCTTCATTAGTGCACCAATTGCCTTGGCCAACTCAATAAGAACCGCAGAACCCGAATGTGGATCCGCTGTAGACGTCAGTCTTGTCCAAAGTCGCAGATGGCATCTCCGACTTACCTGCTCCACCAATCATCCACGAATCGTGATGATTCCCAACGATAACAACCTCATCCTCATTCGTACCATTGAGAATACCAATAGCGTTATGAATCCAATTGATCTCATCCCTCATAATGTTGCTCATCGAGAGTATAGCTTTCGATGGCCCAGAACTGTACTCAACACCATCAATTCCTCCTACCCAGTTCGCTCGATCCACAGTCTTCGCATCAACACCATGACCATTCAATGCGGTCAGCAACGGTTTTGCCTCAGTCCACGAAAGCGGCAAACTTGGAATGTTTGGCAAAGTCCTCTTTTCTTTTCTCTCCACACCTTCTTTAGACGCATATCCCGGTGTCGTCGGATCTCCAGGATACGTGCTCAAATCCATAACACTACCTTTTTGGATGCTCTTCGGGTTCCTTGCAGGCCCGTCCGGGTACGTGGCATAGTTCTTGGCTGTCATGTTTCTGTCGTCTCCAGGGTCTGTGAAGATTACAGCGCCGATCATGCCAAAGGCTTCTGCGTTTTTCACTTTGAGGCCGCGAAAAGGGCCGCCGTATTTCGCGAGGGCGATTTTGCCGTGAAGTGTGATGTTGAGGGCAAGTAGACGTTTGAAGTCTTCTTGAGAAGCACGGCCTGATATGCTTAGCATCTTATATCGAATATGTTTTGGAACGAGTACCACGTACCGACGTAGACGTACTCGGCCGATGCGTTGCCTGAGCCGGAATATCCATGGAATGCAGGGACTCTATTCACATCACTCGTAGTTTCGTCTTCTTCAAGAACTTCTTCTTCGAGTGTGGCGTGGTATGTGCTCCCATTACCATAGTCAAGCGACAAAGCACGGTGGACTGGGTAGTCAAGATACACGTCTTCCGCTTTAGTCAGTCGGTACTTACACAGATGCTACGAATAACCTACGATAGCTGTCTAGTCTGGTTTCAAAGCCATGTTCAGCCCATCGCTCAGCAGTCCATTTCGGGACCGCGTCGCTTTCGCCTGCGAGGTTCCGCTTATGTGCTATAATGGCTGTCAGCAAATACCATCGATATGAGGGTCAAGTGGTATTCCAGTACAGTAATAACTTGACCATGACGCTATAGACGTGTTGTCAAAAGATGAGATCAACACCTCTTCGTTTGGCGTCAAGATAGGAGGGAAAACAGGGGATGTGTCGCGCTGTTGTAGATGACGATCATGATGTCGGTAGTGATGCTCTTTGTCGCATGCATAGACAATGCTAGAATAGAGCAGGGTCAAAACGAACAGCATAGTAGCCATATCAATGTATCACTTGGAGTTGATGATACTGAACGGACATTCAGGTTGTGAAGTTTACATATAGTGCCAAGTAGCGGCACATGCACCGTTTTAGCCAACGTCTAGGGTCGTTTAAGTTCGATCCCAGTCGATGCACTTTACATTTTCATTCTATTTTGTGGGGTATTTCGGAGATATATTCGATTTTATGGAAGTAGCGGTCATGTACAAATAGGGTATGATGTAACACTACATACGATCTTATTATCAGATTTACAGTATTATACGTAAGTCGTTTGCGATTGGTGGAACACAAGCGTAGCAGGAAGTCTTGAGCATTCTTACGCGAAACGTTTTGCTAGCTATATACAATTTATGCGAAGCTGCTTAGAAGACCAAGCAACAGAACAATTGGTTCAACAGGGCTTCCACTAAGCACTGACTTCGACAGCAGTCACTTCAACACCAGAGTTCTTCACTGCGTCAACAGCGACAGGCTTCGCCTGGGGAAGACTGTAAACATCAGTCTCGTCCTCTTGCATACCACCCAACAGCAAAGAGCTCGGAGCAGCCGCCTGATCCGCAGGTGACGCAAGGAAAGCGAGGAACTTCTCGTCATGCCACTGGCGCGAGGTGACGTATCGACCCTCGCTGTCCTGGAACATAGTCTCGTCCTCGGCACGGAGGAAGTATGCAACCGAGTAGCGATGCTCGGTGTAGTCGTATGGCACAACACGGTGGATGCACGACTGGAAGGTGTGGCCGCTGGCGAAGCGAAGAGAGTCGCCGACGTTGATGATGGCTTGGCCTTTCTTGGGCTCCACGAAGCCAAACTCCTTGCTGCCCGGTGGGCGGATCTGTAGACCCCATTGCTCGGTGAAGAGCACGGTCAAGGAACTGATGTCGGTATGCTTCTGGTGACCGACGTTGCCGTCCTTGACAGGGTGCGAAGGGATGTAGTGCATCATGGACAATGTGCTCGTTGAAGGGCGGTGGTTGCGGTGCAAGTTCTCGAAGCGCGCACCACCCGTGAGACCGAACGCTGTTGATAAAGCTGCTAGAATGGCCTTGCCCATGATGTTGTTGCCCGAGATGGCGTTCTCAATAACCTTGAGGTCGGAGCTGTTCTTGATGTTGCGAGGAATGTGGGGCGACTCGCGTTGGATCTCATCGCGAGAGATCTTGACCATCTCATAGCCGTCTCGCTTGCCTTCCAGCGAACCGTTGCGTGAGCCAACAGGTTCGTATCTGAGGAAGTTCAGTACTTGCATGAAAATTGAGGCATGCTGGGCTTCGTAACTCACCCAAGATGAGGAGCGATGAGTCCATACTCGTTCTTGATCTCAATAGGAGACTCGAAGAAGCGGTGCATGACCTTCAACAACTCCTGGTGGTCATCGATGAATCGACGTCCATCGACATTGTTCAGGTCCAGGTAAAAGAAACCCTCTTTCTTGCAGCACTCAAGAAGCTTCTCAAGCTCAGCGGGCTCTTGCGAAAGGATGGCAGAGAAGTCGATCGTCTCCATCGGGTAGACAGGGACCTGCTTTCCGTTCCATTCGACCCTTCGGGGTACTTCTGTTACAGGAGCCATGTTGCGGGTCGATGTTATCGTTATTCTGATGAAGATGCCGTGTTCTCTGATTGTGTTAGGGCTGTGTTGTACCGTACTGCGCATTCTTCAACTTTGTTTTCATGCTTTATAGCAACCTCTCGCGCGTTCATCAGACACGAATCGGCATGCACTCCCTGTTGACATGTTAATTGGCCTTCATCTCGATGATACATGATCTGTTGCCTTCCAAGATCTAGAGATGATCATAGATTGAGTTGGGTTTCTCTCTGTCCCGGATTTCCAGTGTACCGCTTCGTACCCCGCATCTTGTGCAGCTATGAGGACCGCCGCGAGGTCGGCATATGGAATCAGTCGGAGTGCTACAGCAAGGCCTGCCTGTTGTGCTGCGGCTGAACACCTGATCTGCTTGCCGATAGATGGGATTACTGAGCCCTCCGCATACACGTGTCTCGTTAGTAAGTGTAGAGTATACACGTGGGGTCGCTGCACCCTGCACATCTGTCATCTATCCTCTATATAGGTAAAACCTGAGATCAGGACACTTGAGTAGATCCCTAGGGATGGCGTAGTGGGATCCTTTGCCTCTGCGAGACCGCCAGTAAGGTCATGGGTTGTTATCTTGATGCGGTCACAGGTTGTATCGAACATATTGTCGGCAGCTGGGCAGTAACTGCCGTAGATGAAGCTGTAACTGGTGGGGCTTCCGCGGGGGTAAACACCCTGAACTCGAAGCTGGCGACATGCCACGGATGACCTGAACTGCGCTATGCGTACGGCTTGAGTGATCGCAACTATATGTGGTGGCTACTGTAAGGAGTCGCGAATAAGGCGTCTGTTTATGGTGACTCGTCGTGAGGGAGCTAGAAACTCAGGATCGCATTCATTTCCCCACCACGTGCGCGTTACGCGCGGCTCATGGACCTCGGGATGCATTGTTCCTTTTTCTAATATCAACAAGACGGAACGGCCGCAAGACTCATGACGGAAAACGACATATGATATTGGTACAGATAGATATAGCGCTCAAGCAGTTTACAGCTTCATACCCAGCACCTTGTGCACCCGCAGCGCCTGCCTAATACTCAGGTCAAGCATGATTTCTTCCGATCCACCAGGAATAGCGTAAGCCCTGACATCTCTATACAGCCTCTCAACTTTCGCGCCTTGTCCACCACGACTGTAACTCAGACCACCGAAGATCTGACTTGCTTCCCTAGCACAGAACTCGAATGTTGTGGTACTTTGCGCTTTCAAACTGGCAATAGCGCCACCAAGCTTCAGCATAGCCTCCATCTCGTCCATCTTCTGGCACTGGTAGATGAGGTTCTCCATCCAGTTGTAACTTGCCTCGATCTGGCGTGCCATGTGTGCGAGTTTGAGGCGAATGACAGGGTGGTCGATGAGGCGCTTGCCGAAAGTCCTGCGCTTGTGTGCGTACTTGACGCTCTCCTCGTAGCAGACGCGGGCAAAGCGCAGACACTGGATGATGATGCCGATACGCTCGTGGTTGAAGTTTGTCATGACAACCTTGAAGCCCTGGTTCTCTTTGCCAATGAGGTTCTCGACAGGGACCTTGACGTCCTCGAAGGTAACGTAGGTAGTGCCGCTGCTCCATACACCCTGGCAGTCCATCTTGCGGGTGGAGACACCACCAGCGCTGCGCTCGATCAGGAGTACTGACACACCGTTCATGCCCTCTCCGCCAGTGCGGACAGCGGTTGTGAAGTAGTCGGACCAGATGCCGTTGGTGATCCACTTCTTCTCGCCGTTTACGATGTAGTGCTTGCCGTCTTCGGAGAGTTTGGCTTCGCAGGTGAGGTTCGCGACGTCGCTACCGGCGTCTGTTACAGTCAGTAATCGATCGAAATATGTCGAGGACAGGATGGCGGAACTTACCAGGCTCGGTAATAGCGAGACAGATCCTCTTCTTTCCGCTCAATAGATCTGGTCCAATGCGCTGGACAAGCTCCTTCTTGCCAAACTTGAACAGAGGAGGTCCGCCGATTCCGTATCCTCCGATCAGACCCCAGACCAGACCACCACTGCCTGTCCTTGAGAGCTCATCGGTAATGATCATCTCGTGAAAGTGATCCCATTTCTCTGTCGGCACACATTGGACCCGCTTGTCTGTGAATTCCGTAGGGAAGTGCATGCCGAGCATACCGGCGAGGTATCCGCGCTCGCCCATTTCCTGGAAGATCTCGTCGGGCACCTTCTTCGCTTCGTCCCATTCGGTTACGTTGGGCATGAGTTTCTCCTCGACCCATTGGCGGACTTCATCGCGGAGGGCTACGTGGGTATCGTTGTAGTAGGGAGAGTGGTACTGGATCTGGTGTTAGCGACGGCAATGCGTGATTTGTAGGCTGACATACTGTTTGGTACCACGATGGGTCTGCGTATGGGATGAGGTCGCCGTAGGCATCGAAAGGCTCGGACTCCTCAGCAGCAGCCTCGGTTGGCTGTGGCGCTACAACGCCGGAGTTGGCCTCTGGCTTGACCACATCCTTCTTTGGCGCTTTCTGTTCAGGTGCTGCAGCAGCTGGAGGAGCTGGAGGCGCGGCCTTGCTGTCTAGCGATCCGACTTGTAGCTGCTTCTGGTACTTCTTGAGGATGCTGTCATTGTGGTACTTCCAGAACTGCTTCGAGGCGTCCTTTCCGGCGACGCGTTGGAGGACTTGGTAGTGTCAGCTTCGCGAATGGTATTCGTGCATCGGGTTTGACATACTCTTCTTGCCTCCTGGGTGCTCCTCCTGGAAGTTGGTGAGGTCGTAGACATCCTCATCTACGATGATCCACAAGTCGCTCGCTGTCTTGTGCGACGCAACATCGGCGGTTGAGAAGCGCTTCGACATGTTGGTCTAAGTTTCAACACGTAAGAGGGGTAGGTATGAGTAAGGAGAGCAGAGTGATGAGGTGTCGCTAATCACAGGACATCCCTTACTGACTTATAAGAGGCTTAGCAAGTTTCGGGACGTCTTCACATGCCAGGAACTACTCCACGCCAAGGCAATCCGGGGAACCCGCCAGCTGCTGAAAGTCGGCCGCACATAGCGCGTTCTGGAGTGCAGCAAGCCGCTGTCTGATGATCTCGTGCGTTGGAATGCGAGCGCTGCAATTGGTCGTTGCTGTCACGGACCGGGTGACTTGCTGTTTGAAGCTTCACGTCATACGCGCAAATGCCGAGGTATACCGCATTGGGACGCTCACGTGTCGACAGCTCAGCCTTCACATGCCGAAGAGAAGAGGCTGACATTCAGATGCTCAGCGATCCGTCGCATTGATTACGCTGACACCTAGTCAAACGCATGCGACGCCCCATGTCGTCGAGCGAGAACCCCGACGAAGCTACGGCCAGTTCTTCAACGCGTTCCGTGTGGGGTCTCCGCATCGCGTCCGCGTCATCGTTCGGTGCCATCAACGACTCTATGTGCATTCACGTTCAGCCATAAGACAACTTCTCACCTGCTATCCATAGCTCAACACACGCGTAAAACAGGATGTCTCGACAAGTCCAGGTAAAGAAAGGGTCTGAGATCCAAGCACCGGATGGCCCCCAAACCGACGGCATGATTCGCATGCCCGCAGTTGTAGACATGTCAGACCAGATATGTGGCACTGGTAGGACTGATATGAAAACTAACGTTAAGAATACTGACCTTGCCAGTCATGATCGCAAAACCTCATACGGCTTCTGCAATCCACCACCACGGCGATGAGGGTACGTCCTGTATCACACCCGTGTTCCCCCTTATACGCGCTCGAGCAATCTCTTGATATTATATGAGTGGTACCTGAGACCTTGGCAGATACCATCGTGTACGCCGCGAAGGGTCATGGCGCCCTCGTTAGCGGATCAGACGGCAGTAAAAGACAAGAGCTAGCACCAGGAGATTTCGCGCTCATACCAGCGTATGCAGAGCATCAGGAGGTCAACGACAGTGACGAAGATGTTGTTTGGATCATCACACGAGGTGGCAGAAACCCTGTTGTTCAGAATCTCGAGGCTTGGTCAAAAGACTAAGATGCTTGCCAGCGCAGGTCTTGTCGAGAACCCCTCTTCGAGCACGAACACATATCATTGACGTTGCGGAACCGAGTTATAGGTAATGATACATACTGTCATCCCGTATGTTGATTAGTCGCATTCGGCCCATCTATGTCGAATGATAACGATGAACCTAACCATCTGCTACCCGATATCACAGCAAAACGGGACCTTTGCATCATCTACAAGGCTTGCAAACGCACAACTACGTCAGACATGCCTGCCTGTCTAAGCGGTGCTGCAGGTGTCGATAACATACTGGCGACTTGTCGCTCACATGTTGGTATCATGAGCTCTCATTGGTCAGCAGGCCATCTCGTTACAATGCCCCAATATTTATGGTACAGCATACATCGCCTTGGGGATGGCAAACTACATGCCTTATATTCGCGTTATAACCGCCCTCAAACCTGTTCTTTCACTACTCTTGTCGTCTCAACCCCCTATAATATTGCTTAACCCGTCCGAACCGATCGGCATACACGGCACCAACGGCACGTGTTAGCCACAGTTGAGCCACACTAAAGAGTGCGCCATACGTCCACGCAAAGGTAGTGGTTGTTCATTGGAGTTCAGGCCCCCTGAGTTGCGCATCGTTTAGTCCTTTCGGTAGTACCGATAATGCTGGTATGGTGGTGTCCCATACTTAGCAACACATCAAGCACCACAATCTTGTGCACTGCTTAATCTTGCCTTCAAAAGCAACATGTTGACCTTTTGTTCTGGCATATCCTACTTTGCGACTGCAAAGATGTCGTTCGCTACGAGATCGTCTTTTCTTACAGGCATCTGCACCTTTTCCATACTGATCTCAACCGGATCTGTGCAGGCGCAGCTCGATTACAGCAAACATGTCAACGTCTTGTAAGTGGTACATCATATTCTACTAGTAAATCGCTCACAATCGCCAGTCAAGGGACTCAGGGCGGTGGAAATAGGTTTCCTGGAGTAGTGGCCGCACCCTTCGCCATGGTCAAGCTTGGACCTGACGTTCATAACATGAACACGGACGCGTATTCTGGCTACCTCCCCGAAGGCAACATCTTTGGATTCAGTATGATGCATGAGTCCGGGACAGGAGGAGCGCCAAAATACGGCGTCATCAGTCAGATGCCAGTGGTCGGTGAGGTACCGAACCCCCTTGCAGATTTGTCCCAACCACGCGCATCACCAGACCGGGCAAGTCTGGGATACTACAAGTCTTCGCTGGCAAACGGTATTACAGTAGAGCTAGGTGCTACCGAGCATGCTGGGCTTTACTCTTATTCTTTTCCGAACGGCACATCGTCATCTATTGTAGTCGATGTTTCGCACGTACTTCCCAGTTTCAGGGGCCTTGGATGGGAACAACACTACTCGGGTGGTGAATTCAGTATTGCAGAAGATGGGCACTACGAAGGGTCTGGTGTCTACAACAACGGCTGGAATCTATCACCAGATTGGACGATTTATTTCTGTGGAAAGTTCAACAAACAGCCTATACGATCGAAAACTTTCAACGGAGATTCTAATGCAACGAACACCCCGGTATCAGGAAGTGCCCGTCTCGGTGGAGTTTTCACATTTACCGAACCGGAAGTGACATCCCGAGTTGGCATCTCCTTCCTCTCTACCTCACAGGCTTGCTCGAACATGGAAGAAATCACCGAAGACGCCTCACTCGCCACCCTCGTATCCGCCGCAAAAACAAGATGGAACACTGAAATCTTCAGCAAAATCCAAACCTCCTCCTTCAACACCGACGACCTATCCCTCATCTACAGCACCCTCTACGGCGCCTTCCTCATCCCCTCGAACCGGACCGGCGAAAACCCATCCTGGACGTCCACCGAACCCTACTATGACGACATCTTCACCTTCTGGGACACGCACCGCTGCCACACCTCTCTCTTCCACATCCTGCAACCCATCGCCTACGAAGAGTTCCTCCGCTCTTTAATCGATATCTGGCGCCACGACAGCTTCCTACCCGACGCACGCTCTTCAAACTACAACGGGCGCGTACAAGGCGGCTCAAACGCCGACAATGTCCTCGCAGACGCGTACGTCAAAGGCGTCCGAGGCGCTATAAACTGGGATGACGGGTTCGCCGCTATGCGCACCGACGCTGAAGTCGTCCCGCCCAACAACTTCGACCCTCAAGCCCCTGATTCCTCGACTAAGGAAGGACGAGGCGCACTCCCGGATTGGCTCGAGTACGGATATATAACACCGCGTTTCACCCGCGCCGTTACCCGCGCAGTGGAATACTCAACCAACGACTTTGGTCTGCACGTCGTCGCCGCGGGTCTGGGTAAAACATCCGAAGCAGAAACATATCTAAACCGCTCCCGCAACTGGCGTAACCAATGGGACCCCTCTGCCTCTTCCAACAACCACACAGGCTTCCTCGTCCCCCGCCTCGCAAACGGCACTTTCATACAACAAGACCCCGCCGACTGCGGCGGCTGCTACTGGCCCGACGCGTACTATGAAGACAACAGTTGGATCTACAGTATGAACGCCATCCACGATGTCGCCGAGTTGATAAGGAGGATTGGTGGCGACGAAAAGTTTGTAGATCGTTTGAACAAGATATTCGATTTGGGGTTTTTTGATGCCGGGAACGAACCTAGTTTCACCACGCCGTATCTTTATAACTTCGTCAGGGGAGAGCAGTGGAGGAGTGTGGAGAGGAGTCGGGGCGTTTCCGATTTGTATAATGCGGGGGTTATGGGGTTGCCTGGGAATTCGGATGCGGGGGCCATGGAGGCGAATTTGCTCGTAAGTCTCTTCTACTCATTAGATTTGAAGATTTTGGGACTAATTGTACGAATAGTGGCAGATGATCGGTCTTTATCCAGTGACGGGCCAGACTACTTTTCTGGTTCTGTCTCCTTGGTTTTCAGAGCTTACGCTTGATCTTGGGAACGGGAAAAAGCTTATTGTTACTACTGCTTTCAGTGATGGCGGCGATAGGAACACCGCGCCGTACGTACAGAGTCTGAAGGTCAATGGTGAGGCGTGGGACAAAGCATGGGTGGCCTGGGAAGACGTGTTCGAGAACGGAGGAACGATGGAGTATGTGATGGGAAGAAGTCCAACTCACTGGGCAACAGGAGATCTACCACCTAGTCCAGCATCGATATAGAACAATAATATCAGTCACATTCACCTAATGGCACATGCATGATTGTCATATTCACTGACCGAAGGAGCTTGATGTGGTAGCGTTGGGAATAATATTACTCAAAAGACGGCGGCGTGCCATCGGTGTGCTATTCACGACCCCTTCACCGGCCACCATCGCAACCAGAGCATACAGAGAAAATATACATCTCGATCCAAGCAGTCGTAATCTGGTAGTCCATAAGTCTGCAATGCAGCATGCCACTGTACGCCGACGCCTGTCAATGCGCAAACAAACAAAGTGAAGTGAAGTAAAGAGATGAGAATATCGAAAAAACTGCGTGGTGTCTTTGGAAAGAAGCAAACAGCGTTATGGCGTGGGACAGGCCGATAAGATCTAGATGGTCAAGCCGGATTCCCAAACAACAGCTGGACAGAATCATTTTTACGGTGGCGGTGGCGTCTCCTCAGGGTGCAAGTATTCGAGATGATCGCCGGTTGAGAAGTAACCAACGTGATCTGACATGATCCGCGGAAGACTTGATTCCCACAAGGCCCGCTGTTCTTCAAGTTTCTGTTTTCGTCTCTCTGCATCCGCGGTCCCCGTGTCAGTCCGTTTTCTACGTTGCAAAAGCAGTGGTGCGCTACAACTCGTGGGTAGTGTAGGAGTATGGCTCCATTCGTTTGCCCACGTATTGGATCTGTTGTGACCGGGTTTTCGTGGGATAGTGGTGGCAGCACCATCGTCTTGACTGCCCAGTTGTTCCAATCCAGGCCTCCTTCGTACGCGTCGCAGTCTCTGGGATAGACCTCGTCTCGCCGATTCGCCCGTTGTCTCAACAGCATCTGCGGGCTCCTGAACATCTTTCTCATATTGTATCGTTACCGCCTTCGCGATGATCGGAGATCTAGGGGGTGGAATGTCTTCGACATCCTACACCAAAGTACAAGATTAGTAACTTTGAGGTGCATAGTGTGCGGGCTACAAGCCAAAGTTAGTCCTGCTATGAATGCAATAGATAGCCCTGAATTAAACAAGAATTCAGTAAGCTCAGTTGCGATACGTACTGGTGAGTTGAGCATGCTTTGACGCTTGTTCCTGCTCTTCTTGATGTGGCTCTTGAGCGCGCTCGAATCAAGAGGTTTGAGGAGCTCGAAGCTGCAGAGCAGTTCTCCCGAAACCGACATGACGGCGCCCCAGTTGTCAAATTCGCCGCAGTACTGGGAAGTATTAGCATAAGTCCAACTGTGGGATATGTGATATCGCTTACGTTTGGCGCTGAGAACACAGTGACCAGCACTCGGTCAGTAAAGAACTCATAACCGTCCTCGACCACCATGTGAGCTCTGCAAACAAGGTCGAAGTCATGCCTTGCCAGGAACTCCATGATGACCTTCTTTCCAAAACAATAACTAACGCCTCTTTCGTTAGACTCCCAGTCGTTCTCCATATCCGCAGGATCACTCCACAGGAGATCGTTCAGCAAGCCATAGTCGGGTACATCAGTAGGTCGCGCGATTTGTCTAATGTCATCCATATGCGACAAGCTTGGAGACAGTCCACCGTGAACACAGAAAATCTTCTGCGCGACAATAGCTGCAATAGGGAGTGTATTGAATGTATCCACAAAAGCTTTCCAGACTTTGATATTGCATCTCCTCTTGCATTCGTCGTAGAAGCCGTATACACGTGTAACGTTGGCGCATTCGTGGTTGCCGCGGAGGAGGAAGAAGTTCTCGGGGAACTTGAGTTTGTAGCAGAGTAAGAGTAGAATCGTTTCCAAGCTCTGCTTGCCGCGGTCTACGTAGTCGCCGAGGAATAGGTAATTCGAGTTGGGAGGGAATCCGCACATCTCGAACATGCGGATCAAATCAGTGTACTGGCCGTGGATGTCGCCAACAATCTTGACAGGCGGGGCGAGCTCGAGTAGCGCGGGTTGACTGAGAAAGACTTCGCGGGCAGCAGAGCAGATGGCGAAGATCTCAGCGTTCTTTAAGCTGACCGTCTTGGTGACCTTCCCGGCGTAAGCTGCATCCAAAAGTCGCTGAATCATGTCGTCGAGGTCCATGGTCTTGAGCGCGGTGAGCTCCATGGGGGAACCCGAACCGTCAGTGGGTGCGGGAGGCTCTGGAAGTCTGGGTATGGGTTGGTCCTTCTTCTGCAGAATTGACTCTCCCGGCTGAGCAGAGGCCAAAGGCTGTGCTGCTCCCGTCGGCGGCACGTCCGAGACGTGGTCGACTTCGCCGGTTTTCTGAGCCTTGCTCACTCCTTCATGTCCCGTTCCGAGTGTTGCGCCGTGGACCGGTGAGGGTGGTGCTTGTGGTTCGTCTTGGTCTGATTCGGCCTTATCAGCTGCTTCTAGGGTTGCTTCTGTGGGAGCGGTCGCTGAGGCTGAAGCGACCGAGCCCCGTCGCGAGCCTCTTGATTTGGTGGAAGCTGCATCTGACTTGTCGGCTTTTCCGTTGGAGTCGTTAAGGGCAGCAATCGAGTTTCGCGGGCTGTCGGATTTGCCGGTGCCCGGGATCTTGTTGCGCAACGAGTTGCGTAGAGAGCGGGTAGAGTCCTTGGTGTCGGATCTCTCGAAAGAGCGGTAGTACTCGCGGCCGAGAGGTACGCCGTCGGCACCGCCCTTCTCGCCCTTCTTATCCTTGCCGCTCGACTGCTGGTTGCCCATGATGAAGGTTGCGGACTAAGCGAGCGTGTGGAGAAGAGTATTGGGTGTGTGTATGTCTGGTGAGAGCAATGGTGTCCTGTCTCATAGACTGGGGAAGCGGCGGCGGCGGCGGGTTGGGTTGGAAAGTGAAAGCACGAGCCGATGGTAGCCCTGGCACCTTCCCAGGATGTCTCGGAGCGATGACGCCACGTGCAAACACGCTCTCAGGTGATGTTTGAGGAAGTGGATAGACAATGCGCAGAGGCAGTGTTAGGGCGGCCGGTAGAGGCGGGCGAGAAAAGCAAGGAAGCGTGCCTCCGTCGGCGCTGTCGTTATCTGCCTCGGAGACTGGCAGGCGAGGCTGGGCGAGGCGACGGGGGAGCGATCGTCTTCCAGCGTGCGCGCCAGATCGATGGTATGCGGGCTGTGAGCGGGTCGGGCAGGCTCACTATGTGCGGGCAGTGCTGATGCGTCTGCGTGCGGGCGTCGTGGTGGCAGCGGTGATATCAACCTCTACGCGAGCAGAGCGGGGATTTAGTTGCGATGTCAGCCGCAAACGTTAGTTGGAGCCAGGGCATGGGCAGTGACGCTGGTGGGCGAGCTGGCGTCGTTCGGGCTCTGCGGACCGGTGAATAGCAGCGTTGGAAGCACACTAGCGCAATCAACGAGGGCAAGCTTGCAGAAGCCCAGACAACCACCGCGTTGAGGCTGTACACGACCTGGACTGCCGAAAGACGGAGATCACAGCGATGCGCGACTGCTGGAACGGCTATCGTGAGAGGGGCAAAAGCTGTGGAGAGAGTGCGCCGCAGACGGTAGCGAAGTTGGAGACGAAAGGCTGCCAAGGTGACGACAAGGATGACGACTGGGCACACAAAGCGAACCGCCGCCTCTCTCGGTATATCCGACCACGTCCTGGAGCGACACATCAGACATCACGGATGCCGGCATGGCCATTGACACGCACCAGGGCTGACCGTCAGGCGCCCACAATCCTTGCATGTCACTTGCAAATCACGCATCACGTTTAGAAAACCACTCCCACTGACCCCACGAACGGCATCACCATGGGCCCACCGACCGCAGTTCGCCCAAGCCATGGGAATAAACGAAGCTGCTGCAGTTACAACGCTCCTCGGACCCCGCCGCTCCGCCAGTCACGTTCGAGAGCTTACGCAAGCATTCTTGTTCCGCCGCCGCGCGCAGATACACAGTTACCCATGCGCCCAAGGTCACTCCAAAAATCCCGCTGTTGCGACATTTATTCTCCTGCTGCCCAAGGGGTAATTGAGTGCGTGCCTGCACCACGTCACACGTGTTAAGCAAGTAAAAGCCTCATCAATCATGCTTTACACCGACATTTGCAGTTTGCATTTTGAACATCAGGTAGTCTTCTCCACCTTCTCATCACGTCAACTGTCCAAGCCGTGGCGCCAAGGGCGGACATCTTGGGTGCACATGTGACCTGGACTGGTGTATGCAAGACGCCACATGCATCTCCGCAGTCTCCAGTGTTACCAATAGCATCTTGACATCGCATCCATGCGAGTCCGCTATAGCTTGTTTCCTAGGTTGACATGGATAGCCTATTTACATGTTAGCTCGACCTGCATCTGTGCTTACTAGCGTAACGTACCTTCTTGTTGGTGTATGCCTCGAGACCAGCCTCGCCCAGCTCTCTGCCAATGCCAGACTGTTTCACACCTCCGAATGGAATACGGATGTCGGAATCGTTGCTCGAGTTGATCCACACCATGCCTGCTTCAATACGTCTAGCAACACGATGAGCCTTGGTGATGTTCTCGGTGAAGACAGCTGCACCGAGACCGTATGTCGTGTCGTTGGCACGGTTGATCGCCTCCTCCTCTTCCTTGAACGAGCTGATGACCACGAAAGGACCGAACACCTCCTCGCGATAGATCTTCATGTTGTCCTTGACGTTGGTGAATATGGTGGGTGAGACGAAGAAGCCCTTGCCGCCAGCATTCTTGTACGCTTCTCCACCCGCGATGAGAGTGGCGCCTTCCGACTTGCCAGACTCAATGTATGACAAGACGCGGTCGAACTGCGTCTTCGTGACCTGTGGACCCTGGAATGTGTCGTCTTTGAAGGGGTCGCCGACCACAGAAGTGGTCTTGACGTGCTCCTTGAAAGCTTCGACAAACTTGTCGTAGATGCCTTCTTGCACTAGAATTCTTGATGTTGCTGTGCAGACTTGACCCTGGTTGTACCTAAATGGTGTAAGCTCAATTGACAGAAAAGCGTAGACACGACTTACATGATACCAACGTGACTCCACTTGACTGCTTGATCCAGGTCTGCGTCGTCAAATACTACCAAAGGTGATTTACCACCTGTTTCAAGAGTGATGTTCTTCATGTTGACAGCTGCCATCTTCATAATCTCTTTTCCTGTGGCCGTAGATCCTGTGAATGCAATCTTGTCGACGTCGAGATGTTGGGCCAGAGCTGCACCAGCCTTCCTTCCCTCGCCGTTGATGAAGTTGACAACGCCGGGAGGGAAGCCAGCCTCCTTGACGAGGTTTCCGAGATACAGGATAGAGAGGGGTGTTTGTTCAGCTGCCTTCAAGACTACCGTGTTACCAGTGCAAAGAGCAGGTCCTAGCTTCCACGCCGCCATTGCGAGAGGGAAGTTCCATGGAATAATCTGACCACACACACCAAGAGGCTCACGAACTGTGTAAGCCAGCTTGAGAGGCGAGGTATCAATGACCGTGCCGTGGATCTTGTTGGCATATCCTGCGTAGTACTTGATAGTGCCAACGACCTCACCCAAGTCGTCGTTCAGCGAGACAGAGTAAGGCTTGCCGTTGTCCCATGTCTCGATGGTGGCTAGTGTTTCCTTGTGCTCTTCAATCAACTGTGCAAACTTGTAGAGGAGGTCAGCTCGAGCATTGGTGTCCATGTCTCGCCAGTCCGGGTTCTTGAACGCTTTCCGCGCAGCTGCTACGGCATCGTCCACATCTTCGGGTCCAGCGGCATAGACAGAGACGATCTCGCTCTCATCACTGTACCATGTTAGCTATAGCTACCAATCAAGACAGCAAGCGTACCTCGGGTTGATCGAAGTAATGGTCTCGCCCGACTTGGACTTGACGAATTCATTGTTGATGAAGAGACCCCTTGGCTGCTGGTACTTGCGACCATTCGGCGCAGTAAGCTCAACGAAGAGGTCAGACATGTTGGTTGGAGTACTATAGTGTCTCCACACAGGACCGTAACAACTTCTAGGAGCTCTGCGTATCGAAGTCTGGAAGGGAACAGCTGGTTTGGAGCGAAGTGAAGCGCGAGTGAGGGCGGAGTAGAGACAGGACATCTCCTTGGCCGGCGAGGAGACAGCTAGCTATCTATAGGCTGCGGACATGTAGGACGCTGATGACGACCACGGGACAGCCGTAGCTTCCCTTGATAGTGTGGACCCCGCCATCGATGCCCGTACCTAGCTTATCCGCATGCAACTGCCTCTTTCAGACACCCGTCGTCTCGGTATCGGCCTCTCTCATCAACTTTATCAACCACGGCTATGGATGTGACGCGTCCCCGAGGTTCACAGAACGAATAAACGCGTGCCGTCATGTGAGTAGGCGAGGCGGGCTGGGCAGTCGCGACGCGTCGGCGTCCAGAGTCGGCAACAGCCCTGTCGCTACCCCACCACCATCATGAGAAACTCGCGCGCATCCAATAACTTTCTTATTCCCGTCAAACAACACTCCTCACCGACTACACACCAGCCCAATCCAACGTTTGTCACACAATGTCGAGAGGCACAACCACTAAGATACACAGCCACTTACTCAAACTGCCGCAGACTCTCTCCGCGCTCCCTCTCGCCCTCGCAGACCCCACCATAGACATGATGGAAGAAGCGACGCTGCCCGTTACTCCCGAAGCCGAACGCCCCGATGCCTCGATAGACGTTGCCCACTCGCTCGAATACTGGAATAATGTCTCGCCAGACGTCAACGGCATGCTGGGCGGGTTTCCCCAAACTTCGCGCATCGATTTGCAGGGTTCTTCAAATTTCTTGACAAAATTGCGTAGGGGCAAGGCGCAGGGTTCTAAGGAACCGCTGCCACCTCTCGAGCGTGTAGCGGACTGTGGCGCCGGTATTGGACGTATAACTAAAGGCCTATTGTTGGGCGTCAGTAAACAAGTGGACGTAGTAGAGCCGGTGAAGAAATTTACAGATGAACTGGTACAAAGTCTGGGGAATGGCGAGTATGCCGGAGACGGCGAGACAAGATCTGGAAAGGGCCAGGTGGGAAAAGTCATAAACCTGGGGCTGCAGGACTGGATACCAGAGCCGGGTGCATACGACGTGATTTGGAACCAATGGTGTGTCGGACACTTGACGGACGCCCAATTTGTTGTCTACATGCGGAGGTGTGGCGAAGGCTTGAAGAAGGCAGAGGGCGATGCGACAAGTCGGAGCTGGATCATAGTCAAGGAGAACTTGTCTACGGATATTCATCACAAGGATATCTACGACGATGAAGACTCGAGTGTGACGCGGTCAGATAAGAAGTTCAGGGCTCTGTTCCAGGAAGCCGGACTGAAGATTGTGGCGACGGAACAACAAAGAGGGATGCCCAGGGAGTTGTTCCCAGTTAGGATGTATGCGCTCAGACCTGAGTAGACGTATAGCCAGTCCTACTGTTTGTGAGATAGGGTGTCAGGCGCAGGAAACATGATACCCCGGGCGTCTTTATTAGAATGAACGCTATTGCCATGCTTATACTCATCTTAATCCTATGGTATCAAACCTTCCGTACTCTCGTTGCGCCTCTACACCTCACCAATCTCCGCAAATTTGTGCGCAAACCCAAGCGAAAGCACCGGTACCCCATCCACAGGTTCGTGTACCGGTAGCCTGCCGACTGTGACCTTCTTCCTCACCACCTTCGGCTTCGCAGCGTCTTTCTCCTCCGTTTCCGCTCCACCAGACGTATCCATGACATCTTCAAACTCCTCTTCCTCCTCTTCTTCATCTTCGTCACCTTCCTCCCCTTCTTCCTCGCCGTCATCCGCACCCTGCGCGCCAGGATCAGGGTAACTAGCTGGATACTTTTGCCGGAGATACTTTATGTCGAAGACCTCTTGGTGCGCATGTTTCCAGAGATCCACGATCTCATCTGCAGAGAGTACATCTTTGACGCGTGTAGTAGGTATGGCCTCAGAGTCTAGTCGTTCTGACTCGGGCACAGTATCTTCCTCTTCCTCTTCTATGGCAGTGGTGGCAGTGGGTTCTGACTTGCGGGGCGCTATCCCCCATTCTTCGGGTACAAAACACCATTCTGATGCTTTACGGATTCGCTCTTCAACCCAGCTTTCTTCCATGGGCTCTAGCCTCTTTCGTAGCAATGTGCCTGCCATACCTGCTGCCATGCCGCCTCCGGCATTCATCGGAAAGGAAGAGTTGGGGAATGGATGGAGAGCTTCAAATTTCGCTGTATTGGTTGGTAGGGCTTGTATGCTGGTCATTCTCCGTCGCACGTCGCGCTCAACGAGGACTGCATTGCCGGCACTGTCGACCATGGGGTTGCCGGCGGCATCTTTTGACGGGATATGATGTTTTTGGGTGACGAGCTTGGATTGGTGGCGGTAGCCGCCGTTTATGAGGAGATGGATTGAGTTGAGGTAGGATGTTACTGTCCTGGTTGTTTGTTGGATTTGTGGCCTAGTTTCGCGTTAGCGCGTGTCTCGCTGGGTACAATAACAGTCCAATTTCCGCACTTCAAGGCTGGCCTGAGAAAGACGTAATAAACGGAGACATCTCATCGCATGTACGAAAGGTATGAGACGCGAAAAGATCACACCAGAAGACGCGTGCACGAAACAAAGCTGCATGACAAACACACACGCATCCCAACGTGAACTCACTACCAGCCTCTCACTTACCAATCTACAACCTCACCCCGACTCATCTTGTACTGCATCTCGGCCTGCAACCGATCCATACCCTTGATCATCGGCATCAACTGACTGCGCAGCTGATCCAACAGCCTGATGTCCTCCCGATCAGGCGCGCCCTGGAAGTTTTGATTCATTCTGGCCTGTTGTTCCTAGTCCTTGACCTTGATTTCCAACTCTTTTACTGAAGATTGGCCTGGTTTCGCGCAAATGTAGAGTGCTTAGAAGGAAACGAAAGTTGACGTGGAGATGTGGAGGTGCTTGAAGATGGTTGGAGTGATTGGTTCATGGATGCGGCTTTAGCACGAGGCACTTGGAGTAATTGGGCTTAGCGTACTTGGCACATCCGGAAGCTTGAGGGAGGGTCGACTTGAGAGTTCTTTTGCCAGAATATATGCATTGGCATACCACACGTTGATTCAACTCATCGAGTGCGAGAAAAACAACATTGTATTACTGGTAATGACAGGCAAATTGCTGGAAGGAAATCCGACTACAAGGCAAAAGAAAGCACCTGGCGCCCAGATGGTCCCCTCCATCCCATCTCCCTTCGGCCTCCAACCACCGCCTTGATTCATCAAACCTTCTCTCCAATCACCGCGATGATGCTGGCAAAGCCTCCATCGGGCGTAGGCTTGATAGATAGCTTTCCTGTAGCGGAGTCCCAATCAGCCTTGTGTGTAGTGTCATTCTTCTCCTCCGATGCATGCGCATTGATGCCAATGGGGATGCCAAAGAGACGAATACTTCCACCACCGGATACAGAGCTTGAGACCTGCTTGTCAAATTCGTCGATCGTGTTGCCCGAGAATTGGACTTCGAAAGCGAGGTTCGAGACGATGACGAACTGCACGACGCGAGCTAGACCCTTGACTCCATCTGGGGCGTCGCTCTTGAGTTTGTAGGCAGAGTTGCCGCGAATGTCCCTGTTATTGGTAAGCGACTGTCTGGGTAAAATGCAGAACGGGGACGGAGGGAAAAGAATGCACGCACCATTTTCCCGAGTTCACATCGATCTTTCGGAATTGGTCGTCCCAAGACATGGTGAGAGTAGTCTTGAGCTGATCCTCGTGCGTGAACATGGTGCTTTCTTTGTTGTCCACGCTGGCGTTGACACCTAGAGAGATCCAAGGCACGTAGTCGAATGAGACGCCACCGCCTGCGTTAGTATGCTTGAAGCTCTTCTCGTCAACCTTGCTACCTTTGTTGAAGTCGATAGTTACTTCACCGCGCGGCTTGTTCTTAACACTCGCCGTGCTCAACCAACCTGCCACTTGCTCAGCGTAGGTTGGGGCTGAGTAAAGTGGAACGTAGTAGTCAGCTGTGGGTGATGCCACGACGCCTTTGGTCGTAATTTGCCTCAAGATGGCGTCGGCATCCTGAGCTCCAAGCGTTACCACGGGCATGTTGAGGCTGAATGGGCTGTCAGATCCTGAAGGTCTTATTGATACGTTATTCAACTCACCCTGAGAGTGGTGTAGCGCCGTTGATAGCGTCTCGAATTCGCTGCTTGTCCTTCATGTACGAGAACGCCATGTCACCATAGGCATCTCGAGTGGCAGAGTCGGTAGCAGATATCGCGCTGTTGTAGTTTGACTCTAGCGAGTTGAGATGCTGTTGATCGCGACTCTTCCAGGAGAACCACGTGTCACCCGGAACCATGAAGTCTGGCTCCTTTTTAAGTGCTACCCACTCTGCTTTGGCCTTGACTGTTGCAGCATCGAATGCTTCTTTTGCTGACGCTTCGTTGAGCATTGCTGTGGCCAAGTTCAGCTTGTTGGTGGAATTAGGCTCTGCGCCCTAATTCATCATATGAGTCATCTCCTCTTTAATTTGGGCGGTCACACTACTTACAAGGTCAACATGTTCCATATATGTCTGGAGCGCACGAGAGAATGAGTTCGACTTGGAAGGGACGTAGAACATGTTGTCGGTGTACAGTTGGCTATCGCCGATCTCGAAGATACCCATGTTGGCGTAGATCGGATCAATCAAACTCGCCGGTCCAGCAGGTGGTCCACGCTGAGCTCTGGTGCTGAAGAAGTAGGATGTATGCTCGCCGGTTTGGTCTCCAAGTTGAGACCTGATAGCATCGCAGTATGCAAGCCAAAAAGACTTGTTAGCCTTGTCTTGAGACATGATTGATAGGAAGATTGAGAGACTTGAAAACGCTGGTGTGTAGTAAGATATAGGATGCAGTGCTGATTTGCTTCCGATGATGTTGCTGTTTTCTTGTGATCACAGCGGAGCTATATATGTGATGGACCTTTCAGAGTTAACCAAAGAAGACTAGTACTGTTCTGTGCACACATCGTTAGGTCGCTGTAAAGATGGTCTGTTCAGTCCGGAGTCCTTTGCAGATTACGAGAATGAGTCAAGAGGCTGGCTGAAGACGCAGCTTCTGTCTGATCTGTTGGCGCTACACTTACGAGAATTTGCAGAGTCACACTGCGTAGGTGTAGCGAGTAGAGGACGTCGCATTGCGAGGCGCCGTTTCGACAAGCTGAGTTCGATTGCGTCCATAGTTTGTAGCTTCATGCAACCGGCAAGAACGAAAATCCAGACTTCAGACATGTGACATATATTTGAGCTGGATTAGCAATGGCATCGGAAAGTTGGGCTTTAGCGGAGTTGGAAGGACGCGCTATCTAGCAAACTTTGCTACAAGGGCATTTGCTTGAGTCTGCAGATGCTGCCAGAGCTGGGTTTGGCAAGCAGTTCCAGTATTTGCACTGAACTTGTCTATTACAAACGTCTACGAGTTGGGAACGAAGACATTGCGACTGGCCGTAACCGCCAATGAAAAAGTTCAATGTTTGCGTAATTGGCCTCCTCTTTTCTCGTGATGTGGAATCATAGGCTTGTGCTGTGGCCTAAGCATGCTTCGCAGCTCCGCGATCTATAGCTGTGGCGTTTTTCGTCTTGATGAAGTATAGCTGAGATCAGTTCTGTGGTGCTTTACATCGGACCGCCCAAATGATACTCGCTATTCGTTCCGGTTAGCTATGAACCACTGGAGGATGCATATTGAGAGATGGCCAGGAACGGTGCGTAATCTAATCAGCTTGGGCTGGCAAGATGGCTGAGCTGGGTAATGCGTGTGTGCTGCACGATATCACCTTCTGACACAACGATTACGAATTAGGCGACATCTCGGCGGGTAAGGCTGAGCAATTCTGCCTTGCGGATCATCGTCCAGCCTGCAGGTGCGGATGTGATGAGCGGAGTACAGGAACTAGCTTCCCCACTAGTGCATTAGTGTCTCGAGAACCCCTCCAGCTTGAGGCCTCCTGCAAAACACACCACTGCATGAGAATAAGCAACGCAGGCTACTGATTTCGAATCATTGCCATTTCAGCTGCGCCACATACCACAGATGAGCATCACCGACACACCTCATCTGGTCCATAACGGCGGCCGCGCTGCTAATCCCTCTCCTGTCATTCGTATCACTCAGCTGGCATCGTCCTCTGCATTTGTCCCATGCAGCTCATTACATGACTATGCATCAAAGGCCAGATTCGGGCTCAGCTCGAAATGCGACCGCGAGATGTAGTCTTGACTTGCATTCACTTGCATGCTCTACTTAGATACCGCGTCGACGTTTTCCCTCCTGTCTCTTGTTGAACAACCAGCGAATAGCTTAGATTCCCGTCATGGACACTCAGTCGTTCGAGTTCCAGGAGAACTTCTCCTTCTCACTTGTTGAAGGCTTGCCCCGAAAACCTAGCGCGCAACCGTCACGCTTTTGGAAGGCACTATCATACACCTTCCTACCCATCCTGGCCGGAGGGACTGGCAGCCTCGAAGATGAGGGGCAGGCACTGTTTGTGGCTGCGCAAGGCCAGCCTGGAATCCCGGAAGGAAGGACGCTACCTCAGGAAGTGACGAACTACCAAGTCTTCATCAAGACGGATGTGATTCAGACTATCAACCGCCCTTCATACTCAGCATCCAACGGGCGGTCGTACTTTGAACTTCTCTACAGGTAACATTCCATGTTCACTGTTCACATTTGCTGAGACTGATGTCGCGCAGGTACCTCCGTTATGCTACAGCTGTATGCTCAAACTCATCGCCAAAAGCTGTGACAACGTTCCAAGTGCCATTGCTAATATGCCTCAGGGCGCCGAGACTCCGGACATACGCAACGCTCGAAAGGCGTTGTTTGATGCAGAAGCGAAGAAGGAAGCAGCGTGGAAAGCCGCTCTACATGCCTTTCGCCCTACAGCCGCAACGTCCTTCGTGGATGCATTGAGTCATGACAAAGCGTATCTGGATGCATGGAATGTTGAGCAGCAACGTTTTAACGAATACAAGTCTCTGCAGACACCAGAAATGGAAGATATGCTGAAGCAGCTCGATATTACCAAGTCTGCAAATGACCGGCTCTTATACAAGATCAAGTTCGTACTTGCCCATACTCTGCCATACCATGAAATGTCACTCATCATCCGATAGCAATACGATGCCTTGTATTGGCCTGAGCGAGGATCAAACTGTGCCATTGGAACCCTTACAGGTGGACACCAAAGATGTCTTTTACCGTCCACGCCACTCCCTTAGTGACTATGAACGACAGTACGCGGCGTGGCTTGGTCAATCCAAAATGCTAGCAGGGCCTTACCATGTTCATCTGGCCGAGGTGGATACTCTGACATGGGCAGGATTGGGTCATCCCGACCTTGACCAAGCAAAGCCACTCGACGTCAGCTCTATTGCAATGGATCTATACAAGATCATTGACGTACAGCTGTGGTTCATGGGTGGGCCTGCCGCAGCTGTCGACGTCGAAAGAGGACTGTGGAACTACCAAGGCTTTCGAGACCTGGGTAAGCTGTCTGAGGATGCACCCTCATACTTGCGAGAGCCCTTTTGTAAGACTACAAAATTGCTGCTTGCTTGGGGTCTGCGCATGGAGATCATGTTTCCGTCTTTCGTGTCTGAAATGGATCGTAGAAGCTTCATTGCGTCTTTGAGATTTCCGTTTCGACAGGATGAGCACAACAAGGACATGTACTTTAGTCAGTCTGGCGCAGACACGTATCCAGTATTACTAGCTGCGCTCGCTGATATAGTTTAGTATGCCAAGTAGGCAGATCGAATGGTTTCTTCTTGATGCAACCGTACACTGTTTCAGATGCTATGGATTAATCATCAATTCTACCGAAAAGCTTCACGAGTCAGTCTCAACCCACTCTAGCTGAATAGCGCGACATCGGAGTGGCCACGCATGCCAATGATAAGCAACATAGGTGGTAAAACTACTCGATCGCCTGAATATGTGCCTTGGTCTAGACAAATGTCCACGTCGCACTAATGCTGCATCAAACGCACCGTCGGCTGTCGTCACCTACATTAGTCTAGTGTTACAATGATTGGAACGCTGTGGCTACCTGATGCCTGCACACGCTCAGATTAACACGAGTATTGATGTCAGGTCATCGTAGTTCGATCAACCAGGAATGATGGCTGGCTGATACTTCCGAATATCCAGCTGAATGTGCCCAATTTGTAGCGGTTTGTGTGTTAGCAGATGATCAATCCAGGTGTCCCGTGATGAGCAAGAGGTAGGCTCATACAAGTCCATATATTCACGCCTCGTGTATAGACCATGACTTCGGTGAGCGGTACTATATATACTTAGGCAAACCTTCCAGGCCCTCCGCAACTCTCTACACATTCACATCGCTCTTCCTTCGTCCCCCAGAGCCCTAAACTCTACTTCATTATGAACAGGATCGTCATCCATCAAACCAGACTCTCAATGGACGGTCAATCCTCATGCTGCCTCCAAACACCCTGCCCCCAAGTCGGCGTCAACGAGCAAATCCTTGTTCGCATCTACAATCTTAGCGTCGCTCACGGCATCGAGACAATGACCTACAAATGGTTTTCGTACGCCCTAGGGGCTTCCAAATCTGGATTCGTTCTTCCTCTCCAATGGTCAATTAACGGTACGCAACTTGTGGGTACTTGGCAAACTGGAGGTGCAGTGGGACCACGCGGCCAGGGACCATGGGAGGAGTTTGATATTGACGTAACCCTGAACGATGATGTTGGAGATCTGCAGGGTGACGTGCAGATTCTAGTCCCTGTTCCACCACCAGGTTCGCAGTGAATGCGTGGTTTTGAGAAGGTATGTTTTGTCGTTTTCCTGAGGTCTTGCATTTAGGCTGATTTTATTGTCAGGTCGCGGTATGTGGCTGTAGTGAGTGTGCTTGAGATATGACAGTTGACGGATGATGGCTATAAGGGCATTGTATCGTTGGTGACTAGTATCATGAAATGCAAGCTCAAATAGATGCAGATATCACAATCTATTGCTCACCCATTCGTGCTCAGAATCTAAGCGGATAGTGTTCATTCTTTGTATTGATCAGCGACCGTGATTTCATATCTACATAGCGCTTCATATCATATCGACATCCCTGGGTATTATTTCCACCAAACCACCCTTCACGTTCAATTCCTCCCAAATGTTGTCCAATGCCAGCATGTACCAACCCAGTCGAAGATGATATTACATAGATGTGTGCGTGTCGTTGTCGTGATGATGCGTCCAGGCTTGCGCCGCTCTTTGTAGTAGTTGTTGTAATGCTAAGCTGCCATTTTGCTATGCAAGCTGAGTGAAAGAAGAACAGAACGAGGGTATAAGGGAAAGTCAAACGCTTGAACGCAGCAGAACGCCAGTGAAACCCAGAAATCAAGGAACTCATTATGAGTAGTAGTGAAGGAAATAGCCTCCGGGACCGTAAGAGCGCAGCTCAAAAGAATCAAAGATATTTAGACGCTGACGGTTCGTCGGACGCCTACCTCGGGCTTCTTTGCGTAGCCGATAAGTAGTTTGAAGCTGGTTCCGCGCTTCTCGCACTCGTTGATGAGGCTTTGGTCGCGCCAGATACTAGTCTCCAGGAGGTTGCCGGAAGCAGCGGCGCCGGGTTGGCCGGCCTCAGGTAGGACGAGCGACTCGTAACAACGTGAGTACCACCATCGACCTACGCGCGCCACCATATCGGTGATGCCAGTATCGTTTGATTCGGAAGACGAGGTGGCGTTGAGCAGATCGGAGAAGGATACTTCAGGCTTGGGTCCTTTTGGTCCAGGCATGTTGTTCGTCTTGCTGGAAGAGCTTGCCGTGCTGCCCTTCCTGTTCGTGATGTTCTGCTTGACGTCATCGAGGTTGGGGAGCTTGCCGGCAACCGGAACGCCAACAACGCAGCGATTGCACTCAACAAAACCCTTGCGCCCGATTCCAGCCATGACTTCGTCACTTATGTTGCGAAGCGAAATGCTTTCATCTGCTACTTGCATCCTCATCTTGAGCCCACGGACAGCGCGGCGAGCACGGTTGCCCATGTTGACAAGGTCCATGTCCAAAACACTGAACTCAAGGTAACCACCGGGTCTCAGGACGCGCTTGGCTTCAGACAAGATGAAGCGGTGTTCCGATGAGGGAAGCGCAGTTGGGAAGCGAAGCACGACGCAGGCGAAGAAGTGCATGGGAAACGGGAAAGCCTTGCCGAGAGAGGGGTGGCAGATGTGGCGGTGGTTGCTTAGTGTTGACCATGGCTCAGAAGCGCTCTCGGATGATGCAGTTGGTGACGGATCGGGGCCCATGTCATACACAGTTGCTTCAGGATAAGTGAGTGCGCAATAGTAAGACCAGTCTTTCCCAAGACCATCAATGACAAGTACGCGGTCCTCGCTCGGGTCCTTCAGTTCAAAGTGTACAGGGCTGAATAAGACGCGTCCGAACGAGAGCCACTTGCTTGTCATGAGAGCGCCGAAGCGAAGATTAGCCATAGACAATAGCCCATCCGCTTGGCTTTCGGCAATGTCCATCATACGTGTGTCACGATAACGGTTGGTGCTAGCACTGTTGCGATCTCTGCTGGACCTTGAAGCAATGGTGGCTTTGGATTGCCGAGCACTCTGTGACAAGGAGGCTGGGAGGCTGGAGCGAGTTGAACGCTTCGTGGCGGTCCCAGCCGATAGCTGAGGACTAGAAGGCAAGCTCAGTCTGCCAGTGACAGGGTCGATGACACTAATCTTGCGCTCGCCGTAGTCGGAGATGAACTCTGAGAAAGAAATCGACGAAGTAGGTGACTGCGTCGAGTGCAAAACAGCAAGTAGACGAGAGCGACGAAGATGAAGTGAGGGATTCGCAACCTCATCGTTGTCTGACCCCGACATGTTGCGCGGCGCTTTGGGTCTCAATGGCATTGGCTCGAGCGAAGGGTGACTGCGAAGGCTGTTGTTGTCTTCCTTCGTGCGAGAGGTGACAGGCGAGAGAACCTGATCGATTAGGTCGTCATACTCGTTCCAAAGTTCATCGTCTGAGAGAGGCGCGCTAGGACTGGGCACGACAGCAGTACCGACAGCAGGTGCAAAGCTCCAGATACCAGAGCTACTCGAGTAAGATACTTCGGAATCTTTGCGAGGTGGGAACTTGAAGAACTCGCTTCGACGATTGGCCTCATCTTCCATAGGACTGATAGTAGCGATAGCTGATCCGTGGGTCAGGGCAGTCAGACCGTGGAGAATAGGATATGGCTCTACCGGTCCAGCAGTTGCGACAACAGATCCAATGGAATCGAAAGACGTTCGTGGAGGAGCTGCTGGACGAGGTTGGTTCGACACAAAAGGACGAGAGAACGAACGCGAAGACGGGCGAGGTGCCTGACGACGACTAGAGACGACCTGAGGGATACGACCAACTTGCGCCAGTCGACTTGGTCGAGGGGGTGGGCTCGTAGGCGGCGGACCAGGCGATGGAAGATTTTGGGGGAGGACAAACTCTTCTTGCGCAGGTGCATCGTGAACCGACTCTTGCTCAGGCTCGGGCATGTGAGAGGGAACTGCTACGTCTAGTGGCGGCGCGGAGCCTTCGTCGCGCATCGGCGAAGGCTCATGAAATGGTGATGAAGGACGAGAGAGGTCCGTAACGGGAGTTAGGTCACCCAGCGAGTAACGCTCGGAGTTTCGGGAAACGGATCGAACATTCGTGTCGATACTCAATTTGCTCTGTTGCTGTTCCGGTTGTTGTTGCTGTTGTGCTTCCGAGCGCAGAAAGACTTTGGGCGAAGCCGAGCGGGGTGCTGCAAAGGTAGATGGCAACACTGGCTTAGGCGGGAGCAGCATAGAATGCATTCTCTCTTTCCTTCCTGGCTCGTCGTCGGAGAGGGCGCTCTCAGTCCCTTCATCGACCTCCTGCATCAACTGCTCAATGTCATCCAATTCAAGCCCGGACTGATCCATCAACGCGTAGTGTGCGACGGAGCGGGAAACGGTTGCTTGATTTACAGGGCTGGCGGTAGGAGCAGCTGGTGTTGGGGCGCGTGGTCCGGCATGGGCACGTTGAAAAAAGTTCCATCTTTTTGAGGGCTTCGGCGCCTCCTTCTCAGCTTTGCCTTTCTTTGACGACTTCAGCCAAGAGCTCTCTTTGATATCAGCGGCAGTCTCGCTTATCGAGTTCTTGCGAATCTTCCCAGTGATCCGACTGTTCGACCCAGACGGTGCATTAGGGCCCTGTGCGGTTTGTAGAGCTCGTGACGTCCGTTTCGAGGCCATGGAAGGCAGGAAGGACCTCTTGGTATCGTCATCACTCTCGGATGGTCGTCGCAACCCCATAGTCATCTTCTTCATCGGGGATCCGTTACGTGAACTGTCCGGCATAGCAGAAGGCAGCAGTGTTGGCCGGTTCTTCTCTAGGGCTGATTGTGATGTATTGCTCAAGGTCTTGTTCAGTTCCAATCCATGGCCGACTGAAACATCAAGACTGCTGGTAGATTGCATTGGTTCTGGACTTCGTGACAGTTCTGAGCTAGTGCCAGTACCTCGAATGACGACAGGAGCGAGGCGATTGAGAAAGAAGTCATCCATCTCGCCGCTCGTTGTGCTGGTCATGCTGCTTTTGCGAGTTGACGGGGTTTTGTCCAAGCTCTCAGAAGTAGTCCCGGCGCTGGCGGATCGTCCAATGCTGTTTGTACTGACTGAGCTTCCACTACGACCTCTCACTGCGTACCTTCCATAGCCTTCGTGACCAGTGCCTGCAGCTGGCCCTCTCCTGTGAAGCTTACTTTCAGACTTCGCTGATGGGGTAGGCTCAGTCTTGGTACGACGCGTGAAGAACCCAAATCTAGATGTCTTGCTAGGGCTTGGCGCGGGTGCAGGCGCTGGTGCCAGACCGGTG